ACCAAAGCGGATCCCGGGGAGCAGCTGTACGTGTATCTGGCAGTAGCCGATCTGGCAGTAAGCACCGTCCTGTTGAAGGAGGTTGAGGGCGTTCAACGGCCTATATACTTCGTTAGCAAGGCGCTGAACTGCCCGGAGACAAGGTACACACTGATGGAAAAGACGATCCTAGCCATGATCGCAGCAATAAAGCGCTTGGCGCCGTACTTCTAGGCACACCCGGTGACGGTGTTCACCACTCAGCCATTGGCCACTATCCTCAGGAACCCAATGGCGAGTGGGAGGATTACGAAATTGTCCTTGATGATCGGGCAGTACAACGTGGAATTCAAGCCAAGGCCAACGATCAAGGGGCAGGCGCTAGCAGATTTCATTGCCGAATGCACAGCACGTGCGAAGGATGGGGAATATGGTGGCAACGACCTTGACAACTGGTGGGAAATGTACACCGATGGGGCAGCAAGCGCAAAGGGATGCAGGGGGTGCGGTCATCACTTCCCCCGAGGGATTCAAGGCTTATTACTCCATAGATTTTAAGTTCAAAGTCACCAACAACGAGGCTGAGTACGAGGCGCTAATCGCAGGATTGAAATACGCGAGGGCCCCCAGTGCAGCTCGTCTGAAGGTGCGGATGGATAGCCAGTTGGTTGTTACGCAGATGAACGGCACCGCTGAAACTCGGGAGGAGCGGATGAAAGCTTACAGGGAGCTGGCAGAGGAGCAGACTGTGCAGTTTGAACAAGTGATCATAGACCTGGTACCTCATGTAGAGAACGCTGAAGCTGATATCCTATCAAGGCTAGGCAACCCCCTATCCGAGGATCAGACGCCGGCCGTCCCGAAACACATCCGCAGTTTCACTAGACAGGAAATGCTACTCCGACCGGCGACGGAGACGATCCAGGTAAATGTTGTTTCTTATGCAGATCCCAACTGGGTGAAGGAGGTGACCGATTATCTCAGGGATGGAACCCTCCCCCTCGAGAAAGACGGACGAACCTCCGGAAGGGCCCTGTGGATAAAAAGACAAGCGGCGAGTTTTGAGGTCATCGAGGGTGAACTGTACAAAAAGACGTTCGGTGGACCATACCTCAGATGCTTACCGTCGGACTTAGCGACATCAGTCATGGAGGAAATCCACGAGGGCATCTGTTCGAGTCATCAGGCACCCCGAACGCTGGTAAGAAAGATCATCCTGCAGGGGTACTACTGGCCAACCATCCAGCGAGACTGCTTCAACCACACTCAGAGGTGTGCAGTATGCCAACAGTACGCACCTATGCCGGGAAGGCCGGCCAGCTTCTACACCCTGATGACCGTCGCCCTACCATTTGCGAGATGGGGGATAGATCTGTTGGGGGCCCTTCCCAGGATGACCGGCGGCAAGAAGTTCATAATAGTAGCCATTGACTATTTCACCAAGTGGGCGGAGGCCGAGCCATTGAAGAACATCACTCAGTTCCAATGTCAACGCTTCGTATGGCAGAATGTATTATGTCGGTTCGGAATCCCAGAACAGATCATTACGGACAACGGTCGGCAGTTCGTTGGCAAGGGTTTCGAGGCATATTTGGCCAAGTGGGCATCCGACATTCCAGGGCCTCAGTCGCGTACCCGCAGGCAAACGGCCAGGTGGAAAATATGAACCGAACCATCATGGATGGCATAAAGAAAAAATTGGAAGATTACTCCTCAACCTGGCCAAAGCAGCTGAATTATGTCCTGTGGACGTACAAGACAACTCCAAGGACAGCGACCGGGGAAACACCGTTCACACTGGCGTACGGATTTCTGGCCAAGGTCCCCACCGAGGTACTCGTGTCCACACACCGGACATTGCACTTTGACCCAGGACAGAACGAAGAAAATCTAAGGGCAGAGTTGCACTTTATCGAGGAGAGAAGGGATCTAGCCGCACGGCGCATGGAAGTATATCACCGGGCAACCGAAAGGTATTTCAATAAGGCGGTGAAAATCAGAGAAATCAAAGTCGGAGACTTGGTACTGCGGAAGCGGGAGAAGAGTAAGCCGCTCGAGGGCGGCAAGATGGCCAAAAACTGGGAGGGGCCGTACAGGGTATACGAGAAGAGATTGGCGGCGGGGACATTCCTCCTACAAACTATGGAGGGACGTTCCGCTAGCATATGGAATCTTGAGCACCTGAAGAAGTTCTACCAGTAGGACCCCCCCCCCCCCCAAAGGAGGGGGGAGACAAAAAGGAAGTTTCAGTTCATACAATGTAACAGCGGGAATTAATGAAAACAAGCAGGCCTGGACATTAGCCCAAAAAGTCCCATGGTTTTCCCTTTCCGGGTTTCCACGATAAAATCATGGTGTACATCATCATCATAGGAATACTACGAGCCTCCCAGAGGAGATTAACATTCCCCGCCGAGCGGTACCAACCATACAAACGGTACAATCACTGCACCAAAGACCTCTCAAAAAAAAAGAGGCATCGGGGAATCCCTAAAGGGGATAAACCCGTTCCGCATCACAATCGCGGCCGAGCCCAGCTCAGGATCCAAAGGACCAGGCCAAATGGGCAGGTAAGACGAACGGATGACGGGACGAAGATCGGGGAATCCCCAAAGGGGATAAACCCGTTCCACGTCACAATCGCGGCCGAGCCCAACTCAGGATCCAAAGGACCGGGCCAAATGGGCAGGTAAGATGAGCGGACGACGGGACGAAGTCAAAGACCTCTAAAAAACAAGAGAGGCACCGGGGAATCCCCAGAGGGGATAAACCCGTTCCGCATCATAATCGCGATCGAGCCCAGCTCAGGATCCAAAGGACCGGGCCAAATGGGCAGGTAAGACGAACGGATGACGGGACAAAGATCGGGGAATCCCCAAAGGGGATAAACCCGTCCCGCGTCACAATCGCGGTCGAGCCCAGCTCAGGATCCAAAGGACCAGGCCAAATGGGCAGGTAAGACGAGCGGACGACGGAACGAAGTCAAAGACCTCTCAAAAAAGAGAGAGAGAGAAAAGAGGGAGGCACTAGTGACGAAGTTAAAAGACGATCATAGCAAGGAAGCAATACACTTTATTCATCGGCTCTACCGGCCGGAAAGTACACAAACATACACGAGTTCAGAGTGAAATCAAAAGTACAAAATAACTGAAGCTGTCACGCCTCGGGGAGCTATCCTTGAATATAGATATTCCTACAAGAGCTTTCTATGAACCCAAAGGCGTGAGGGGTGAAGTAAGCCATCTTAAAAACACTAGCCACTTTAGGAAGAACGACATGCTAGCCAGGAGGTGCGGCCGACAAGAAGAATTTGACAAACTCACTCAGCTACAAGAGGGGGCGTCCTTCGCCTGAGACTTCACCTTCAAAGCCTCCTCATAAGCCTCAGCAAACGAAGCATTGAAACCAGCAGCCTCAGGATCAAACAGAGTGGGGAGATAACTGATAAGTCCGTATTTAGACACAAATTTGATGCGTGTTGATATTGGTTTTTGATGGTTTTCCTAGCTTTAAGGTTTTACAAGTCTCAATTTTAGCTCAAGTTATGTTTAACAGGCGTTGGTTCGAGTTTTGTGTCATTTGGAGTCAAAATGAATATTTTTGAGTTCGGCACCGGCGCTTGAGAAGAAATCAGGATGAGTTGAGAAGCATTCGGGAGTGAATTGAGAGATTTGGAGGTCACCGGGAGGTTCACGATGAAGTTTTGACGACAAGAGAGCTCTAGGAATGGCTATGGGATCAAAATAAGATGAATGGAGCTTGAAATCGGCGATCAGGATGACCTTCTGTCAATCGTTCAAGCATATCTCTTTGTAGAAACATTCAATGTACACGCTTCAAAGTCCATATGAAAGACAACGTCAATGGATACAAATCATATGAAGACACCATTGCGAGAATCTGAGAGGAAGAAGGTGAAACCAGATGATGAAGTCAGATGATCCCTGTTGCGATTTCAGAATGAGACCTTCCACCATTTTGATCATATCTCTTGCTTAAGTGACTCCAATCCAATTCCGCAAGTTTTTGTGGATAGAGGACTTCATTATCTACAACTTTCATGAAGGAAGCATTTCCAAATTCGGAAGTTAAGTAGACACGGTTGTGCCCTCAAAGTTAGGAATGAGCTACTGGAACCCAGGCACGATCGTGCCTGGCAGGCAGGCACGCCGTGCCTGAAGAGAAATGAGGAACGAGCTACTGGAGGCCCGGAAAGGTCGTGCCTGGCCGCATTTAAACGGAATGCTTCCGTAGGCACGGTCGCAGGCACGGTCGTGTCTGGCGCCGTGCCTGACCCCGTTTTGTCCTAATTCAGCCCAAATTGCCTTGTTTCCTATAAATAACACCCCCATAACCCTAATGAGGGGGGATGGAACTTATCTAAATGGACTTCAACAAGTTTTTGAGCCTCTTTAAACATGTTCAAGTAAACGCAGGTTCTGGACCCCCTTACCGGCAATGCGTGCGGCCTGCTCCAGCTCGGCCGAATGGAGAACCATAGACTCAAACTTAACAGGGAAAGCATTCCACCGGTCGGAGAAGGGGGGAGGGGAATCAACCCCGGCAAGGAAGAATCTCTCCTCCCAGCTGTTCGGATTGGGGGGTTGTTGGAAAAGAGAACCCTCCATGAACGGGCCACTATGCTGAGATAACCTGTCTGGCCGTACGAGGAAAGTCGGAAGAAATGCAAAACCAATTTCATGGACGGCGCAACCGTCATCAGACGAATTTCCAGGACGGCCTTGGGAAGATTGCCTAGGGGAAATGGAAGACATAGCAAGGACGGATAAAAAATACATGACTTACAAGAAAGAGATGGAGATCTAGAGAGAGAAAATAATCTGGCAGAGTAACGACCAAGAGTATTCCCCCCTTTGGGCGATAGAGTATTTATAGGCAAAAACCACCGCCTGCACCCGAATGAGGGAAAGACACGTGGCGGACCATGTTTGGTGTATCATACGGTTGGCGCGACGCTTTGAAATCCACGCCACCAGTGGCACGCGCCAGAATCATTCTCCCCACAATGAGACGTACGACCGAGAGAGAGAGAAGAAGAGGATAAAAGAGAGAAAAATGAGAGAAAGAAGGAAGAGTCGTTCCTCATCAACAGGGCCGGTCCTGTCATTTTGTGGGCCTATGGGCGAGAAGCTAAGTTGGGTCTAAATTTATAAGCTAAACATAGATTATAATAAAACTGCCGAATAATTGAATAAAGGTAAAAAAATAAAGATGAAATTCACTTTATTAATATTTAAATAACATGTTTGATGAAAGGTAACAAGTATCACATAAAAAGAAAAATATTACTTAAAAACGTTTCTCGCCGAACACTGTGAAGCAAAATCATCAATAATTGCTTCATAATCAACCTTTTCCAAGACTTCATGCTCAATGCTTAAAATTGCTAATCCATTCAGCCTTTCTTGAGACATAGTCGATCGCAAATGATTCTTCAGTATCTTCAACTTTGAAAAACTTCTCTCCGCTGTGGCAACGGTCACATGTATTGTCAACAGTATTCTGTAAGCAATTGTTGTATTCGGATAACAACACAAGTTCTTCACAAAATCAAGAATTTTAATGGCTGTGTCCCTATCATCCGGTAAAATATTTTGCAACATTTTCAATTCTTGAAATAAATCATCCATATCAATGTCTTCCTTTTCACCATCTTGTAGAGCTTCTGCAAGTATCTTACAAGAATCTATCAACTTATCAGAATCCAATGATTTCAAGTTCCTTGAATTGAACAAGAACCCAAAAATACCTTGCCTACTAGAGCAATACCTCCAGATCGATCACCTTTCAGGAAAACAAGGTTCAAGCCCCAATTCTAGAGCAATACCTTTTGCTCTACTGATTGCATCTTCAAACCCCTCATTTCGATACTTGTTTAAATAAATAATCAAAGCATTCATATTTACTATACAAGCATCCATGCACATATCTTCACTTTGTAATAATTTACTGACTTTATTAATGGGATGCAAAACATCATACCATATTACCATGCCCAATAAGAATTCAAACTTCTCTACTTGTTTCAGCACACTTTTAACGTCATTTTTAGACGAATAATCAGTGCAATCTTTTCCAAGTTCAATCAAAGCTTCTCGTATTTGCAAAGTTTGGGTTACAATTGCTTTAACACTTTCCACATGACATTCCCAACGTGTGGTGGACAATGACTTCAAAGTTAAGCCCTCTAAATGCTCTTTCAAAATTGCCCATCTTTTTGTTGAACCAGAAAATAGTGTATACAATTTCTGAACACATCCAAAAAAAAGTAACCGCCCTTGAACAAGATTTAACCATACCAGAAATTGTTAAATTTAGACTATGACAAGCACATGGCATGTAAAAAGCTCTCCGGTTCATATCAAGTAGTCTTCTTTGAACACCTTGATGCTTACCTTTCATTTTAGACCCATTGTCATAACCCTGTCCTCTAACATCATCGATATCTAGCTCAGATGAAATCAACACACGCTCTAATTCCCCAAAAAGCCCCAATCCAGTTGTATCTAGTACTTCTAGAAATTCCAAAAAATATTCAACAACTTCTGCTTTGCCTGATGACATATTCACACATCTTATGATTAGAGTCATTTGTTCTCTGTGACTTGAGTCGGGTGTACAATCAAGAATAACTGAATAGTACTTCGCAGCTTTAATTTGATTAACAATTGTACTTTTCACACTCGATGCTAACCTCAGAATCAATTCATTTTGAATTTTGTGACTCAAATAATGATAGTGAATCTCACTACATTGGATGCGCCTCACATGTTCTTGCATAATGGGATCAAACTCTGCAATCATTTCAATGAACCCTAAAAAATTGCCATTTTTTTCATCATAAAGTTTGTCACTACTTCCACGAAAGGCAAGTGATTTTTAGCAAGAGTCTTTACTAAAACTATTATCCTCTTAAGAACATCCCTCCAGTGCTGCTTCTCTTTTGCTAATTTTTCCTGAATAGCCGAATCAAGGGTTTTTTGTTTTGCCAATCTCATCTTTAGTTCCATCCATCTTTGCACATTAGTAAAATTTTCAACACTTTTTTCATGGGTAGAAAGCTTTTCGCTGAGATGTTTCCAATCATTAGTTCCTTCATTAGCTAAATGATTGGGACCTTCTTTTGTTTTAAACAACTTGCAACAAAAGCAAAAGACTTTATCCACTTTTTTGGAATACACTAGCCATTGTCTATCTTCGCTTTCTTTATTTTTCATGTTCCTAGTATAATAGGCATTTGAAAAATGTCTAAACTTGGCATCAAGAGGATAATTTAGTTGAGTTTCCCTTATAGGTCCTTTTTCAACTAAAATATCTTTCATTTTGGCATCAAGGTTCCCCCAATAAACCGGATCATATATATCAATCACTGAAAAATGACCCCTCACTGATTTATTTTCTTCACATAAATCACATTTATCTGGCTCAGTTTCAACATTTGCGGCTTTTGTACCAATATCATTATTCCCAGGCGTGTTATTATTTTCATTCGCATAAGAATTTAACGGCGATTCAACTTGAGAAGAATTTTCAGGATTCAACTTCTTAACGAAAACATATTTTTCCATTGCCCCCTTTTGACTTAAGGCTGCCTTATCTAATCTTTGCCTCTTTTTCTCTTTTTCCCAACCAGATTCACCCATTTTATCGAGCACCTTCACAATCGTTAAAAACAATAAAAGAATTCAAAATTGCACGATAGGGTCCATAGCCAATAGCACACAGATATCAATTTAACAAGACAATAAAAATGCATCATATAACAAAAACATTTTCTTATATACAAATTGCAATTGTAAGGATAAATCATAAATTATCAATCATAAATCAAAATAAATTCTAATAGATTGAGATTAATTTACTTACCACTGGTGACTGACAGATTGTTTGAAACCTTGAAAGTTGAAAGAAGGTGTTCTAGACTTGTAAATTTGTAAATACCGGCCGACCTTTGGGCTCCTCGCCTCCTCCGTTCCTGGATTGATTGGCAGACTTGAAAAATTGAAGGCTTGCGCCTTGCCGTAACAACCGAACGGCCAGTCGATTTGAAACCTTCTCAATCAGTTATCACTTAGGCAACCTTGAACAATTGAACCTTCGTTACTTGATTTCAAAATTGAAAACAAACAAAACAAAAAAACAATGAAGTGGCCGGCCAAGTGGGTTATTGCCTTATTGGGATTTGGGAGTTTAATGTTTGGGAATTGGGATGGGGTAGATTGGAGAATTTGAAGTGTTCGGTAATACGGAGTACGTAATAGGTACTTAGGTAGTTTAGGGATTTGGGTTATTGGGTCACTGGGGATTGGGAGGGACACATTACATTCCTTTTATAATTTTTTATAAAGTTTCTTTTATAATTTTAAAATTATGAACAAAATTAAATCATGGGCCTAATTAAATGAGTTTTAAAATACAAAAAAGATTATAAAAAAAAGATTATTCAAAAAAAGAATACAAAAAAGAGTCCTACTCACGCTATATATAAAGAAAACATTTTGGGCCTATTTTTTTTTTGCTATTTTTTCGGGCCTAGGGCGGTCGCCCCTGTTGCCCCCCCTAGGACCGGCCCTGCTCATCAATAAAAAAGGGGAAAAGAGAAGGGAAAAGAGTTCATGAGAGAAGGGAGAAGAGCCATCCCTCGCCAGAGGAAGCAGGGAACGGACAAAGGGAGTTATGAATAAGTAAGCAGACCGCAAGTCATAGAGGGCAAAGGAAAGTTCTATTCTTCGGCTCGACTGGCCGGAACATACAAATGAGCAGATGGGATCAATCAAATCACGCAAGGAAACCATGGGGGGGAGCGTGGGGAGGTCTACGTCTCTTCCAACTCGTCAAAGAGAGGCTCGGGAGTAGGGGAATCAGGGATTTCACCCCTCTGGACGGCCTCGGCGCGCCGCTCATCTTGACCGATCTTCCCCATGACCCGCCGAAGCTCAGCCCCCTCTGTGTAGTCCTCCACGTTGAAAGAGGGGCAGCCGACCAGAGGAAGCACACTTCTGAGGGCCTTGACACCCTCACAATATCCCTTGGCGAAGGCATCATCAGCAAGCTCTACAAGCCATTCACCACCGAGTGCGGTTTTCTCCAAAAGCCGCACCCCATGAGACAAGTGATCCTTCTCCGGCACGGGCTGCAGCTTGGCCTCGAAAACTTCTCCAGCAGCCCCCCGACAATACTCATGGGCGGCTTGGAGGAACTGGGTGGTCTTCTTAAATTCCTCCACATTAAGGACCAGAGTCAGAACGTCGCTGGGAGGGGATCCGCCCTCAGGACACGGGGTAGGATCTGCGGCAGAAGCAAAGGAAATCCCATGCTTCTCAGCCAGGGCCACCTTGGAAAGCAAGCTCTGTTTCTCCTGTTGGCTCTGAGTCCGAACGGGCTGGAGCTCCTGTTGGGCCTAAGCCAGGGCAGCCTGAACCTTCTTCATCTCCGCCTGAGCAGCCTCCCACAGCAGCACGACTTCCTGCTCTTTCTTTAAATCCGCATCGGCTTTTCTCTTGAGCTCGACAAGATCCTTCTCCCGAGCGGCCCTCGCCCGCAACAAACTTAGCCCAGCCTACAAGGAAGAAAAGTGGGTTAGGTGGGGATGAATGGCAGATCAAGTGACAAAGGGGAAAATGTGAGGAACGTACCTCAAGGTTCAAAAGCAGAGCATTATCAACAGAATCGCCTGAAGAACGATCCGACAACTCCAGCCCGACCTGAAGGGCCATGTCCTTCCAGATTTCAGAAACCGAACGGACGGCGGAGGGCACCACGACGTTCGTGGGTTTGGGAGCAGAAGGCTCAACACGCGGCCTCTTCGGCTTTTTGCCCTTGTCTTTTTCCCCACCAGCGGGGATACCAACGCCGAGCGGGTCCACATTCAAGACCCGGTTATCTTGAGGGTGCTGGGCCTAAGAATTTTGCCCAATCACCTCCGCAACCAGAAGCTGCTCCGCTTCAGCAACACGCTGACTCGCCTGGGACGCGGCAGACGAAGTGGCCCCAGAAGACTAGGCGGCCCCACGAGCTTTCGCCAGCGCCGCCCGTTCCTTGTTGGCCTTGTCCTCGCGACGAGCCACCATAGTAGCGCTATCCATTTGTTCTTGAGTAGGAGGAGGACCTAAAACAAAGAAATAACGTTAGTACCGGGCAGTGCAAATCACAAAGGCACTCACTTTAGGGAATGTCAGTCCAAGGATCACGGGCGGTACCTATCCCTGCATCAGAGAGTGCCTGGATGGTCAGGAGGTCCTTCAGCTTTCTAACGCCGCCCAGCTTTAGCTTATCCACGTCATCTTGCAACTCCTGGGTTAGCTCCGGCGTCTTAATCTTCGGAGGATACCCGTTCCATCTCGCAGGAAGCCGCTCGTCCGCATAGCGAATGAAGAAAAAATGATTTTTCCAATCATGAATGGAAGTGGGAGCCCCCTCAAACAGCTTTTTTTGGGACGAGCAGCCACGCACAGAAACCCGTCGCCGTTTTGAGGGGTGACTTGGAAGAAATAATGGAAGAGATCCAGATTAGGGGTAAGCCCTAGCGATTTACAACGAACGAGGAATGCGGAGATCAGACGGTAGAAGTTTGGCATGAATTGGGCCGGAACAACACTATAAAACTCAAAAAAGTCAAGATAAAACGGGTGGAGCGGGAAGCGCAGTCCGGCTTTTATGGAATCCATGTGCACCATCACCATTCCCGGACGTCTCATGAAGAGGTTATCCGCACCCCGGAGGCTGTAGTAAGTAGGTGGAGGGAGAATAATCTGCAGTTCCCTCAGGGCCCTCCTAGAGAAGATCTGTTCAAGCTCGGCGACATTGGGGATGAGCACTATGTGCGGGTGCTGATCCATGGGGACGCCGAGCTCATATATTTGGAGATCGTCCCCTTCCTCGACCTCTTCACTAGAATCGCGATCGGCTGAATGCCCCACCCCCACGGCAGGTTGCGCCACCATCGCAACGGCATTCTAGGGAACGACGTCCATGTCAACATGCTCCTCTGCATCTGGGATCGCGACATCAACTGTCGCCTCAGGGACCGCCATTGAAGAAGCACTGGAACGGCCAGAACCACTCGCTCCCTCCGAGGAACGGGATCTGTGCTTCGTTGCGGAAGAAGAACCGGCTGAAGAGCCGGTAGAGGAACTAGAACCAGTCTCCGAATCGGAGGAAATTTCCATGGAACAGGCCATGGGGAGGGTTACGAAAAGAAAGGGAGAGGGGTTGGATCGAAGAATTACCTTGCGGAACCTTGGAAGAGGGATGAAGGCGGAAACTAGAGGCACTCGCTGGACGACATTGGGGAATTAGAAGGAAGCAAAGGATGGAAAGCCCTAACCATTCCTATGATCCCAGTATTTATAAGGGGAGGCACCGGTTCAGTGGCCAACCCGCAGGTGACACGTGGCAAGGAGCGTACCCAGGGACGCGTGTCACGTAGAGACGGGCAGGTACGAAATGATTACTTTTGCGTCGGAAGTTGAACCGGCCTGGATAGCTGGCACCTAGAGCCCTGCGAACAATGGCGGGGAAGCAACCGTCACTTCGGGGAAAGGGAGGTAACGAATCAAGGCGGTACGACGGAAGCTATTTTACTTCTTTATGTCCCGCGCACGCTCGGAACATCAGAAGTGGGGGACTTGTGTTGGGTTAATGGCCCAACAAGGGCCGGCCCATCAACCCCTAGGGACGTACGTAGCTCAGCATAGCCAAGCTCCAAGGCCCAAGGGTTAAGGGACGTACGTAGCCCAGCATAGCCAAGCTTCAGGGCCCAGGGCCAGAGGACGTACGTAGCTCAACATAGCCAAGATTCAGGGCCCAAGGGCCAAGGGACGTACGTAGCTCACCATGACCAAGTTTCAGGGCCCAAGGGCCAGGGGACGAACGTAGCTCAACATAGCCAAACTTTAGGGCCCAAGGGCCAGGGGACGTACGTAGCTCAGCATGACCAAGCTTCAGGGCCCAAGGGCCAGGGGACGAACGTAGCCCAACATGACCAAGCTTCAGGGCCCAAGGGCCAGGGGACGAACGTCTTGTGGTTTACCACCCAAGGGTCCAGGCTGCCACCAGAGGGATGAGTCCGGTCTGGGGGACGAACGTCCCCACATCATGGTGGGAAGCCAAGATCCTGGCGGGAAGCGCATTAAATGTGGGAGATTTGATGGTTGGGATCATGTCGCCCACATCCAGTCACGTCACCCCCCCCCCAACCACCATGGGGTACTATAAATAGTCGCATTTATTTCATTGAAAGGGGTTCGCACTTTGATTCTCTAGCATTGTAATAGCGGTAACCGCTCATAGCCTAGCTTAGTACGTTCGGCCCTTCGGCTTGTAATCACTGGAGTGAATAAAATACAGTTATTGGCTCACCCCCCGTTGTCTAGTGATCTTATTCGCCCTTCACCCATTCGAAACCCCCAGGTTACGTGTTGGGCCTGCGGGTTCAGGGGAATAAACCTCAACAATAGGTATATTATTATTTCTATAATTATGATTGTTATATTATAATTATAATTATTAAAGTTATAATTATTATGATTGTAATTATTGCTATGATTTTAATTATTATAAGTATAACTGTAATTGTTGTAATTATAATTATAATTATGATTATGATTATAGTTACAATTCTAATTATGATTATGATCGTAAATATGATTATGATTGTGATTATTATTATAATTATGATTATAATTATAATCATAATTATGATTGTAATATGTTTAATTAGTATTATACCTATTGCAATAATTACAGTTACAATTATAGGTATATTTATTATTATAAGTATAGCTATAATCATAATTTGATTTATAGGTATAATTATAATACTAATTCTAGTTATATCTATAATTGTAATTGTAATTATAACTGCATAATTACAGTTGTATTCATAATAATAAAAGTGATAAATCATGACTCATTTTTTTGATCTGATCTGAATGTTTATGATATGATCTGAATCTTTCTGATATGATCTGATCTGAATATTTCTGATTTGATTTGATCTGATTTTTTTGATCTGATTTGATCTGATCTGAAAAAAATAAGAATAAGCAATAAATAATAAGCGATTCTTTCCCACAAAAAAGAACTCCCACAGTCCCACTAACCGTAAGATGGGAACCCGAATGCCAGCTGCTTTTTACCACATTTCGACATTCCTCTATATCTCTCGTTTGTTTTTTTTTTACTTTGTCCATGGTGTCCTCATTTCTATGTATCTCAGTTAAGCATGGACTCGGGCTGGGTCGGTCAGGCCGCCGGTTCGTAACACATGGACCTGGAACCGGCCCGAGGTTTGGACGGGTCCGGTTCGGGCCGGGCCACCCGCCCGGGTCACGGGTTCGGGCCACCCGCCGGGCCACCCGCCGGACCGGTTAAAACTATTTTTTTTATAATTTATACTTTATAGTTTTATACAAGTATTAAAAACAAACTTCAAGTGCATTTATTTGAAATGAAATAGGAACTACATTTGAAAATTAAAAGAAACATACACTATGAAATACATTTTGTAAATTGTAATCAATCATAACTTCCCGCACCTCCCGATCCTTTGGTTTTGTCACATGACTTAATATGCTTCATTGTCATCCCGTATCCGCCTGAAACCCCCATGCTACATTTTTCCTCGCACCATTTGCAAGTTGTGTACCACATCCCGGTCCTCGAGTCCTTCTGCTTATCAAAATTATACCGTATAACGGCATATTGACTTTCCATCTTAAAAATGGTAGATATAATAATTCTACAAATCTACAATAGACGGAGATGAAGATGAAGAATGGAGATTAGAGATTGGATGCTGGAGAAGATGTGTATAAAAATGTTAGAAAATAAGAGTATTTATAAATTTTTGTGTACCCCCACCCCCACCCACCCCCACCCCCAACGGCTATTGATTCAAATTTCAAATTTTTTTTGTACCCCAACGGCTATTGATCGGATTTTTGTACAATAGTTTGGGGCTTTTGATTTCATTTTTTTGTATGTTTTAGTTTGAATAAATTACATAATGTAAAATTAATTAATTAATTTTATGAATTCAGTAAAAAATGCTACATATAAAAAAAGTAAAAAATGCTACATATAAAAAATGAACGTATATTTATTTGAAATATGAACTACAAGTTTACAAGTTACAATTGAGAATTGAAGGTAAAATTAAAACATGAAATACTAATCAATCATTCAATCGGAATCTCCGACATAGGTAGAGCCACCATCGGTTGTAGATTCATCCATAAAGTGTTGGGATGAGGTGATGTCAATTTCTTGAGCTCTACGAACCACTTTCTAACTATTAATTCGAGTTATAGCAAATTAGTATTTTAAAGTTTACTTTAATCAAATTAACTAGTGAATTAACTAGTTTTGTGTACAACCTATTTTTTTACTAACAATGAAATTAATATATTTTATTTAACTTTAACTATAATGAGAATTAACTAGTTTTTTAAACTAGAGTCAAAGGTAGCAATTAATAAAAAATTGTAATAAAGTAATTAACTATTAATCTAACTATTAATTCGAGTCATAGCAAATTCGTATTTTAAAGTTTACTTTAATCAAATTAACTAGTGAATTAACTAGTTTTGTGTACAACCTATTGATGGATAGTCTACCCGGGGGTATATATCCGAAGGGTTATTGCGGGGAATAACTTAGAGAGAAGTCAGAGCAGGTAAATGTAGAGAGAGAGAGAGTGTATTATAAATGTGGAGCGTTTTTAGCGTGGTTACAAATGGGGAAATGGGGTGCTATTTATAGTAGCAATAAATGCCGGACAGGGACACGTGTCAAGCGCTCATTGGCCGAGGGGTCACCTCAACTGGTTGGCGCTGGCAGCCGCATGTGGCCGCATTTAATGCGGCTGTTGGATGGGACGTCTGTGCAGGGTACGGTGATCTGCACGCATGTGAGGCGGATATTATGTCGGGAGAGGTGCCCTCGGCTGCAGAGGACTAGCCGAGGGCTCTTAGTGCTGAGGGCTCCAGATGCCGAGGGCTACTGTTTTCGCCGTTTTCTCCCAGTTCCTCTGTTTGTTTGAAATACCCATGTTGTGATAGTTTGGAGCCTTCGGCCAGGGGGCCGAAGGCACCCCTGGTGCGTATTGTGGGCTGCTTGGTACTCTGGGGGCCGTGATTTGGGCCTGTTGGGCCTTCTGGGCCTGTTGGGCCTCTAAAGGAGTAGTAGGAGTCTGTGGGCCGGGTGTTCCCGGGCCATATACTCCATCAGGAGTCCCTCACTCCTTTTGCCGAAAGGTATTTGAGGGAAAAAGAGTAATTTGTGCTTGCCCTTGGTGAGGAGTTGTTGCTTTTATGTCCCTACCGAAGGCAGTCCCTCAGTTACCCACATGTCGGGACTTGAGGGCTTGCTTTGTCGTTTGTTGGAATTTCACTAACTTTGTAATTTAATGATTTTCCCGAGGGGGTCCTCCAGTCCCTCACTCCTTGAGGCACTTGTAAAGTGGTGAAAAGGAGTAAAGTAGTTGCGTTGCCGTTGATTAGCCGAAGGCTGACGCTTTTTGTTTCATTTTGGGGGGGGATGCCTCGTTAAAAACCTCATTAGGAAAAACCCTGTGGGAAAAAATCCTAATGAGGGAAAAAGAGTGCACCGAATTCCCCCAATGATGAATCGAAAATGTCAAACCTTGGTCAAAAATGGAGAATAACGGTAATGCCGAAGGCCCTTCTTTTCCTGAGGGCTCATGTGTTGATTAGCCGAAGGCTTGCTGTTGATGTCCTGGGGGTGCCGAAGGGGAGCCCCTCAATCCGGGGATCGAGAGCCTGCTGGATGAGGGTAGCAGCGGCGTTGTTACCGGGGGTCCACTGTTTGTTGATTAGTTGGTGATGAAGATACCTGAGGGCTCCCATTACCTGTGTGCCATGGGTTATCCGTCAATGAGGCAACTCCCCGGGGGCTTTCAAGGTCAGTTCCCCCTGCCTTTCTCCTTCTAGTTTAGCTGTGCCTTGTGCCCCTAGGTTAGGAGATAGAATTTTTTAGGAAACCCTAGTTTTCCCGAGCCTTCGAATTAGTGAGCAGATGTCATCACAGAGCGATTCCCAGGATATCTCGGGGGAGCCTTCGGTAGAGATGGAGACATGCTCAGATGTGGAGTCGTCGAGCGTGGAGTCTTCGGCGGGTGGTGATGCCGCAGTGGCCATGGAAGTGGAGAAGGACCTCCAGGCCGAAGTAGAAGCCGAGGGCTTCGAACAAGAAAACGAGGACGAAGAGCTTGCCCTCGCCGTGCAGACCGCCGAGCAAGAAGAGGAGATGGAGAGGCTGAAGGTGACGGTTGCCATTCCTCCCCCCGAGGTGCCGGGGAAGCCAGCTCCTCCCGGCCATTGGACCTGACGCCCATAAGTGTGGCTCCCGGGAAGAAAAACAAGATGAAGGCGGCCCCGAGGAAGAAGCAAGCGGCAGTGGATGCCGGGCGGCCGGTGGGCATACTCGAGGGCCATTCGTTCTTGAATACTGCCGCTCTAGAGCTGAAGACGAAGGCGTCCCCGGCAGAATACCAGTCCACCCAGATGCTGGTTGGCCCTTCGGCGCGCGTGGTGGAGCCCAGGGCGGATGATTTGCTGCGATATGCGCCCGAGGGGTGTTTTGCTGCTCACACCCTCTCGGTGGAGATGGGACTTCGGTTCCCGCTCCATCCTTTTCTCTTGGAGTATCTGAGGTTTGTGGGGTTGGCCCCCTGCCAGCTAACGCCCAACAGCCACTCCTATGTGGCCGGCTTCCTCTCCTTGTGTCAGAGCCGGGGGGTCGAGCCCACACTTGATCAATTCTTCATGTCCTTCAACCTCTGCCGGGGGGGACATTCAAACGCTGAGGGCTTTGCCAACCTTCAGCAGGTACCGGAGTTCCGGCTTTTTGATGATGTGCCCTCGTCCCACAAGAGGTGGAAGGAGAGGTTCTGCTACATTCGCCTCGAAGAGAATCCCTTCCCGGCCCAACTCCGCAATAGCTTCCGGTGCCATCCGAAGGTGGGGAGCGCAACTCTGGAGAAGAATGGCAAAGTGCTTGCCAGGAAGCCGGAGGGGTCTGACAAGCACGTCAAGATCAGAGACGTTACCCTTCCAGAGGAACTGCTCAGCTTGGGCTTCCGGCAGTTCAGGCCGAGGGGCTCTTCGGATGAAAGATACCCTCCCCTCGATCGAGTCTTCGAAGGAGCTGGAGGTGATCACCGAATGGTTCACTGATGCGTTGATAGTTCTCTCTTATTCCCCGTTTTTTTATGACGTAGCGACTGGTAGCCTTCGATCTAACCCCCTTGTGTTTTTTTTGTTGCTTGCAGGTAACAATATGGATGTCGGTTCCCTCTTCGCTCTGAAGAATGCGAAAGGGAAGAAGAAGGCCCCGGGGGGCGCTTCTGCCAGGGAGGGGCCCTCTCAAACTGCTGTCGCCACCGCTGGCGCCGGAGGGTCCAAGGGTGCCGGGCCCGTAAAAAAGAAGAATGCCGGCAAGGGGACCGAGCCCCCGGCCAAGAAGCCGAAGACTACCGCCCCTACCAAACAGCCGATCACCGATGTGGTGGTGATCGTCGACGAAGGGCACGCCTCTGCCTCCACCCCCCAGGAACAAATCAATCAGGAGTTCTTCGGGCGGGAGAGGTTGGAGGCGTTAGTACCGAAGGGAGCCTCCGTGTTGGAGGGCAGTCTGAACCCTTCGGCTCTGATGAGCCAAATGCTGCCGTCGGCCGACCGACTAGCCCTTGCCCGGTTGGACGAGGGATCCCTCAAGGCGAAGGTCCTCCTGAATGCTGCCTCCGTAAGTCACCCCCCTTCTTTGTTCATTGTTGTTCTTTCCTTCTGTACTATGTTCGTTGTGCCTTATTCTTGCCTTCGTGAATTGCAGAGCTTTATGGGCCTCTGCGAGCACCTCCGGAGGGTGGATCAAATGAGGGAGGCCAAGGGAGTAGCCGAGGGGGAGGCCGCCCTCCTCAGGAAGAAGCTTGCTGAAGCCGAGGACTCTCTTCGTCTGGCCACCGACGGCATAGAGCAGAGGGTGCAGGCTGCCAGGACCGAAGGGGTTAATGAGGGACTGGCCAGGGCCGGGGAGGCCGCCCGCATTGCTGCTGATGAAGCCCGCGCGGCTCAAGAAGAGGCCGTCTCCAAGGCCCGAGAGGATGCGGTGACCAGCTTCACAGCCGAGGGGTGGAAAGCCGAAGACCGGAGGGAGTGGCTCGCTTCGGTGGTGGGGGCTTCAGTAGACGAGTGGGTCGGAGGCCCCGGAAAGATGTGGCTTGCTGAGAGGGGCGACTCGTACTACCAAGGCGGGGAGTTCTTCACCCAACGCCTCATCTACCGGAAGCTTGCGAAGCATTTTCAGGTGTCACCGGAGGAGTTCCGTCCCGAGGCTTATGGCCTCTCCCCGCCAGCCAGATGTCAGGATCCCGCTCCCCGAGGGGGAAGAGAGACCAGTTCTTGAAGACTCGGAGACCCTCCGGGAGTGCGGCCTTGGGGGTGAAGAGGATGAAGCCGAGAGCGAGGCAATGTCTACAGTCCCCCCTTCTTGAATTGTATTCCCCCCTTTTGTGTTGTAATTGTTGGCCTCGGCCCCCTTTGTAAAGCACAATCAAACTTCCTTTTTTTTGAATGAATGAGTACATATGCCCTCGGGCCTTTGATATACAATATGCTTCCTTTTGATTTGTTCATTGTCGAATATATGCCTTCGTCTCGCCTTGGATGTATGCCTTTGCTCTTTTGAATGTATGTTTTAGGACTGAGAACATTTTCTGATTGTAGCTTGCCCTTGGAAGCCTTCGGTAGTTGGGCACCCTCTGCTGGATATGCGACCGAGGGTTCAGCAGTAATTAGGACTTAGAAAATTTTTCTAAACGTAGCACACCATAGGGCCTTCGGGTGCTTGTAGTAACCCAATTCCTAGGACTTAGAAAAATTTCTAAGTGTAGATTTTCCCTTGAGAGCCTTCTGGATATGGCATCCCTTTCTGATGTGTGAATATTGGACCGAGGTCCCAATGTACAGGACTTAGAAAATTTTTGCAAGTGTAGTATGTCACGTAACCTCGGTGCCGAAGGGTCTTCTGTAGGAACACTTGGTGTTCTCATCTTTTCTTTTTTGATGTTGAAGGTGGGGATGTACCCTCGGCACTGGGTGCCGAAGGGAAATGAAACACATGGCGTTCTTTGTTGTTGGTGATGGGAGTTCCCTCCCTCGGTACTTGGTACCGAGGGGTCTTGACTGAAAACACATGGTGTTTTCATTGTTGTTGCAGGTGTTGATGGTGTCCGCCCTCGGCACTTGGTGCCGGAGGGGGTTCTTCTCGTGGTGAGGCCGGGGGCCTGTAGTCAGTATGAGGGCTTGATGTCTTGAATGTATCTTCATTCTTCGAAATTGGAGGCCTTGGGCCATAGGATAGTACATTCACTAGTTATGAGGGCTTGGCCGCTCTTACATTATTGATAAAATTTAACTAAGTGGTGTACATTCCAGTGCCTAGGGACTTCTTTCCCGTTGGGACGTTTGAGCTTGTAGGTCCCCGGTTTGATGATGGCTGGTATGATGTAGGGGCCTTCGAATTTTGGTGCCATTTTTCCTCCCTCGGTTGGTTGGCTGGCTTCCCTCCTCCGGAGGACATAGTCCCCCACTTGGAATTCTCTGGTGCGAACTTTGGCGTTGATGTAGGTTTTGACTTGCCTTCGGTAGTTTTCTGCCCGGATGAAGGCCTGCTCCCGGCGTTCTGAAATGAGGTGGAGGTCGAGGGCCATGTTGTTGTCGTTGACCTCGGGGTCATATTGGATCACCCTTCGGGTGGGAAGGGTGACTTCCGTAGGAGCTTTGGCTTCAAAACCGTAGTAGAGGGAGAAGGGTGTTTCACCTGTTGCTCGCCGAGGGGTGGTGCGGTAGGCCCACGGGATGTTGTGGAGTTCTTCCACCCAGCCACCGCCCTCGGCCTCCAGCTTCTTTTTGAGGCCCTCGAGCAAGGTCCGGTTGGCATTCTCTACTTGCCCGTTGCCTTGAGGGTATGCAACGGAGGAGAAGGTGTGCTTGATGCCCCATGCTTCCAGAAGGGCACAGAAGGGGGCTGCCTCAAACTGTGTCCCATTGTCGGAGATAATCTGCTGAGGGACGCCAAACCTTGTGAGGATGTTCTTGAGGACAAAATGACGGCACTTCGCCTCTGTGATACTAGCGAGGGGCTCAGCCTCCACCCATTTGGTAAAGTAGTCGATGGCCACAATGATGTACCTGTTGTTGGAGGTACCCCTCGGCAGAGGGCCCACAAGGTCTACCCCCCATCGAGAAAAAGGGACAGATGTGCTGATGGGGGCATAGTTGACCGCTGGCCTGCCGGGGGCTTTCTGGAAATGTTGACATGCGGTGCACCTCCGGGCAAGGTCAGCACAATCTCTGGCCATGGTTGGCCAGAAGTAGCCCTGGAGAATGAGCCTTCGGGACCTGGAGAAGGGTCCCTGGTGAGCTGAGCAAGTGCCACTGTGCACTTCCTCCATTGCGACCTCGGCTTCATCCTGATGAAGGCACCGAAGTAGCGTGTCGTTGTAAGATCGTTTGTAGAGCCTTCCATCTTCGAAGGTGTAGCTGGGAGCCCTCAACTTTGCCAGTTTAGCGCGAGTCTCATTCTCGGGTAGCTGCCCTGTGGAGATGAAGACGGTGATATCTGAGATCCAATCCTCTCGGCGTTGTTGTATGTTCATAACGGGGCTTGCATGGATACTTGAGAGGCTGAGTTCCTCAATTTTGGCAATTTTGGAGATGTGCTCGGGGGAGTCGGCCGAGAGCTTAGATAATATGTTGGCCTCGGAGTTCTGAGCCCTCGGTATTTGAGTGAGAGAGTGTGCCTCAAATACCTTAAGCAACTCCTTGGCCGCTTCCTTGTATTGTTTCATTCTTCCCTCCTTGGCCTCACATTCTTCGGAGATTTGGCCAACGACCAACTTGGAGTCGCATTTGATGTGGATCTGCCGAGCCCTCATGTTGGCAGCCAGCCGAAGGCCACATTGGAGGGCCTCATATTCGGCCTCGTTGTTGGAGACTTTGAAGGAGAAGCGGATTGCATAGTAGGCTCTGAAGCCCTCGGGAGTAATGAGGACTACCCCTCCCCCGCATGCTTTGGTCGCGGAGGAGCCGTCGGTGTAGAGGGTCCACCAGTCGTCCGAGGTAGCCGAGGGCTCCCCATCCGTGGCGGCCCTTGCGGTACATTCCGTCACAAAAGTCCGCCAGGGCTTGGCCCTTGATGGCAGGCCTTGGACGGATGTCAATGTTGTACTGGCTCAAGAAGATAGCCCATTTCACCATGCGGGAGGAGCTGGTGGGGCTCCTCATGAGGGCGCCAAGGGGTTGATGAGTGAGGACCTGAACCGGGTGAGCTTGAAAGTAGTGGCCCAACTTCTTGACCGTCCAAACGATGGCTAACATTGTTTTTTCCACAGGGGAGTACCTGAGCTCGGCCTCCCTTAGGGTCTTGCTAACGTAGAAGATGGCATGTTGGATGCCGTCTTCCTCCCGGATGAGCACAGAGCTGATGGCTGCTGGGCTGACCCCAAGGTAGAGGTAGAGGGTCTCCCCTACCTTTGGTTTTGAGAGCACAGGGGGTGAAGATAGATACCGCTTGAGTTCGTCGAAAGCCCCCTGGCATTCCGGAGTCCATAGAAAGCCAGCCGTCTTCCTCATGATCTGGAAGAAAGGTAGAGATTTCTCCGCTGATTTAGATAGAAAGCGGTTGAGGGCTGCCAGGCGGCCCGTAACCGTTGAACTTCCTTCACGTTGCGTGGGGGCTCCATGTTGATGATGGCCTCGATCTTCTCGGGATTGGCCTCGATACCCCTTCGGCTCACCATGTAGCCCAAGAATTTGCCCCCTTGGACGCCGAAGGTGCATTTCTTCGGGTTTAGTCGAAGGTTGAATTTTTGCATGATGGCGAAGATTTCCCGGAGGTCGTTAGCATGGCTGGAAGATTGTTTGCTCTTGACGATCATGTCGTCAACATAGGCCTCCATGGTGCGCCCTAGGACGGCTTGAAAGACCCGGGCCACCATCCGGGTGTAGGTGGCCCCTGAGTTCTTTAGGCCGAAGGCCATGACTAGGTAGCAGAAGATGCCCTCGGGAGTCATGAAGGCAGTTTTTTCGGCGTCTTCCTCGTGCATGAAAATTTGGTGATACCCTCGGAAGGCATCGAGGAAGGACATGATCTCACACCCCGCGGTCTCATCCACCAGTTGATCAATGTTTGGTAGAGGGAATGGATCCATAGGGCACGCCTTGTTGAGATAGGTGTAGTCCACGCACATGCGGAAGGTAGGGGGCTTCTGTGCGAGGACTACATTCGCTAGCCATGAGGGATATTTCACCTCCTTGATGTGCTTAATAGAGAGGAGCATGGCGACCTCCTTCTTCACAAATTCCCTCCTTTTGGCGGAGAGGGGTCTTCTTCGTTGTTGTACTGCTTTTGCCGAGGGGTCCACCGAGAGGCGGTGGGTGATGACCCTTCGGCTGATTCCCGACATGTCCTCCGGCCCCCATGCAAAGACAGTGGAGTAGGCGCGGAGGGCGTCGGTGATACCGGTCTTCAAATCTTCAGGGAGCTGGGCTTCAATCTTCACGACTCTCTCCGGCTGGGCCGGATCGAGCGCAAAGTCTTCTACGTCCTCGGCCGGTTCAGCCCTCGGCCTTCTTTCCTCTTGGTCGATGGTTCCGGTGATGGTGTCAACACGGAATTCCGTCTTACTTACCTTCTTAGTGACTTGAAGATAGCAGACGCGGGCAATTTTCTGATTCCCCCGGGAGTAGCCAATGCCCCCTTCGGCGGGAAACTTGAGGCAGAGGTGCCTCATGGAGATGATGGCTTCGAGGTCCTCGAGGGCTGGCCGGCCGAGGATGATGTTGTGGGCGCAGTCAATGTTGACGACGACGAACTCCATTTCGAGCTGGGCTCTATGGAGCCCGTCGCCGAAGATCACCGGGAGGGTTATTACCCCCTCGGAATCAATAGTATCGCCGGTGAAACCGGCAAGAGGGGTCTTAATGGGCCGAAGGGACCCCCTCTCCAGATGCAGCTCTCTGAAGGTGCTGAGGTACATTACATTGACGGAGCTGCCTGTGTCAATGTAAGTTCGGTGGATGATGGTGTCGTTTATCTCCGTCCGAATCACCAAGGCATCCCTGTGAGGAGAAGAAGTAAGAGGGAGATCTGCGTTGGTGAAGGTGATGGGTTCCTCCCTCAGTCGCTTTACCGGGGGCATATGAGTGACTTCCCCTACGTAAAGCGATTGAGCCCACTTCTTTCGCTGGCTGGTGGAATCGCCCCCTGTATTGACACCGGTGATCATGAGGATGTGGCGTTTTTTCTCCTGGTAGTGGGGGTATTCCTCCTCCTCTTCTTCCAAGTTTCCGATCTCCCTCTTCTTGCCGAGGGGGATGGTGTTCGGATTCACCCAGGCGTTTACCTTCGTATGGTGCCCTCGGGGAGGTCCTTGATGAGAAGGTCCCTCCTGCTGAGGGCTCTGGACAAATTGGGACAGGTGCCCCGCCTGTATTAATCTCTCGATGGCCGTTTTTAGCTGATGGCAGTCATCGGTTCTGTGCCCCTGGTGCCGATGGAAGCGACAGTATGGGAATTGAGGGTTGATAGCATGTACCTCCGGGGGTGCGCGAGAGTCGCGCTCAACGAGGCCCCTCTCCTCGGCAAAATCGAGGATGATGCTGACGGGGTGCGTCAATGGTGTCCGAGGGCGGTCCAGGAGAATGGGCTGTGCCCAAGTCTTAGGGTTGCTCTTGTAACCTCCCCCGGGCTTGGCTTGGCCCTACCGAGGGCGGTCATCAGAGGGTCCCGAAGCCTTGGGGTGATTTGGAGGAGCCCCCGGCCCTCGGTTATGCTTGTTGTCAGCCCTCGGGGGCTGCTGGTCCGGATGCTGGTGATACTTTTCCACCTCCTCGGCCTCAGCATATCGGTCCCCTCGATGCAAAGCCCTTATGTAGTCGCGGGGGGGTTCAATGATGAGGCTCCTTGAAAAGTTGCCGGTGCGGAGGACGGTTTGTAGGAGGGCCAGGAGGGTCCCGTCATCAGCACCGTCGACCTTGTCGGCCTCCGTCCTCCAGCGCTCCAGGAAGTCCCGAAGGGTCTCATCCCTCTTTTGGCGTATGGTTAGGAGGTGGGAGAAGTGCTTCCTCGTGCGACGCCTCCCGGCAAATTGTGTCAAGAATCGCTGGGCGAGTTCTTGCCACGAATCAATGCAGCCCTCGGGCAGCCTGTTGAACCATTCGTATGCCGGTCCCTCTAAGGTGGAGAGGAACCATCGACACAAATATTCGTCTGACGCCCCCACCATCATCATGTTGTTCTGGTATTTGCTGTAGTGTTCCTGGGGGTCCGTTTTCCCATTGTAGGGTTGTATGTGTTGCTCTCGGTATTTCTCCGGGATCCGGGCCGCCAATACCCTTGGGGTAAATGGCGTCCGAGTCCGGAGCTGGATGACGGGTTCCCCGGAGCCCTCGGCCACCTTCTTCTGTAATTCCTCCATTTTGGCCATCATGGCCTCGTATTTGAGGTCTGAGTGAGGGGTGGAGGTGGTGGCGTGAGCTTTGTTGGACTCCATTTCGTCAAGCCGGCGTTGGAGGGCCGCAATAATCTCGTCCCGGGGATCCTTCGGGAGGGTCTCCGCCCCCTGCGAACGAACCCGGGCCGAGTGGGCCTGGTTGATCTGGTGGCGAGCATCATTGGCATGAAGGGGTGCCTTGCCTTTGTCCCGAGGGGGACGCTCCTCGTCTGCCCTCGAGACAGACCCTCCACTTTCCTGAGGCCTTTGGAGTGCCTTTCCTCCGAGCCGGTTGAGGGCGGAAGTGCGGGGCCTCTCCCTGTTGTCATTGTGGCGATCCCGGGACTGTACTTCCTGGGAGGACGTGTCCTGGGCCACTACCCCTTCGTCGTTCCTCACCCGAGGGGTGGGGTTTCCGAAGGGGTGTGGCGGAGGGGGAAGTATGATGTTTTCCCCAACCTGGGGGTGGGCCGGAGCCAGGGTGCCGAAGGCACCCGGGTTCTGAGTGAGCGTCTGGATGAAGGCGGAGAGCGCCGATTGCACGTCGATGGTGAGAACCGGAGGGCTGATTTGGTCATCGCTCCGGTTTTTCTTCTTGGCCTCGATGCCGAGGCGGGCATCGGGGGCATTTTGTTGGATCTGAAGGCGTAGGTCGACAGCCGCCTGTTCCAGCCCAGCGATGACACCGCCCTCGGGAGCCCTGTGAGAGGCTTCGGGGGCGTTGACGTCGCCGAGGGCCAGGTTCTTGTCTTCTACGTTCTTTGAGTTGGCACGTGTTGTTCTCACCATTTTGGTAGAGGGCTAGTGTTTGGCGAAGGGGGAGGGTTTCTCACTCGATTGTTCGACCTCTCAACGAGAGCACCAAATGATGGATAGTCTACCCGGGGGTATATATCCGAAGGGTTATTGCGGGGAATAACTTAGAGAGAAGTCAGAGCAGGTAAATGTAGAGAGAGAGAGTGTATTATAAATGTGGAGCGTTTTTAGCGTGGTTACAAATGGGGAAATGGGGTGCTATTTATAGTAGCAATAAATGCCGGACAGGGACATGTGTCAAGCGCTCATTGGCCGAGGGGTCACCTCAACTGGTTGGCGCTGGCAGCCGCATGTGGCCGCATTTAATGCGGCTGTTGGATGGGACGTCTGTGCAGGGTACGGTGATCTGCACGCATGTGAGGCGGATATTATGTCGGGAGAGGTGCCCTCGGCTGCAGAGGACTAGCCGAGGGCTCTTAGTGCTGAGGGCCCCTGAGTGCCGAGGGCTCCAGATGCCGAGGGCTACTGTTTTCGCCGTTTTCTCCCAGTTCCTCTGTTTGTTTGAAATACCCATGCTGTGATAGTTTGGAGCCTTCGGCCAGGGGGGCGAAGGCACCCCTGGTGCGTATTGTGGGCTGCTTGGTACTCTGGGGGCCGTGATTTGGGCCTGTTGGGCCTTCTGGGCCTCTAAAGGAGTAGCAGGAGTCTGTGGGCCGGGTGTTCCCGGGCCATATACTCCGTCACCTATTTTTTTACTAACAATGAAATTAATACACTTTAACTTTAACTATAATGAGAATTACAACTGTACTAGTTTTTTGTACAACCTATTTTTTTACTAACAATCAAATTATTATAGTTTAACTTTAACTATTATGAGAATTAACTACTTTTTTTTTCAAATAACGTTAATACAACATTAAATAAGTGTAAATAATAGAATGATTTCGTACCTCTTTCGGACTTTCGGTCTTTCAGATGGGAGTAAATAGAATGACTTCAAATTAATTAGATATAATTCCAACTATATTAATAGATATAATAAATGTATAAGTAACATATAATTAGATAAGAAATATAAGTAATATAATGTATGTATTTATAAATTATAAGTAGATAATCAATATAAAGTAGATATATAAATATAATATATTGGAGAATAAAAGAATTAGAGAGTAGAGAGTTAAGAATAGGATTTAGGAAGAATTGGAGAAGAGATATGAAAAAATGTTTTAGATTAAGAGTATTTATAGGTTTTTTTACCCCACCCCCACCCCCACCCCCAAACCCCCCGGACCCCCCTGCAGCCCACCCCCAATGGCTAGTTTGGCCCATTTTTTTTTAAAATGTTACCGTTGGACCCGGACCCGGGCTTGACCCGACCGGGCCGGGTCAACTATTTCCGGAACCGAGCCCGCCCCGCCCATCCCCCCCGGTTCGTGTCTACACCCGGTCCCGGACCGCCAGACCGGGCCGGTCCCGAGGCCGCACAGTAGCGGGCCGGGCCGGGTGGCCTGAACCGAATCCACCCCTAATCTCAGTTGTTTTTTTGACTTCCATGGTGTCATAATTTCTACGTTTCGAGCAGTGATGCCATCACATATATGAGTATTTTAGTTTCATAATTTATGTTTAGTCATACTATTTAAATAATACTCCCTACTCCACATCAATTATCATAAACCAAGAATATGCATCATAACTATTCAAATATTCAACTTTTTATGGTATTTTTTCTACATCGGTGTATAAATTCCTTCTAACTTTTGTACTCCGTAATATTTAAAAAGTGTAAAAATTTCTAATTGCACGCTTGACATGACAATTTTTAAAAATTATTTAATTTTTTTAAGAAACTACAGTGGGTAAAATCTGAGAGAAAGCAAAAAACTTTTAGCATTAATTAGTCACAATAAATTGTTATACTAAACAAGATTAAATCAAAGTTACAGCCATTCCCATTTAAGATCTTTTTATTAAAATATTCAAAAGTTTTCCTCGTTGCTGGCACTACGGCAGGCTACGGCACTAGTGCACTACTGGAGGACTGAGCGTTTCACATCGCAGCTGGGACAAACCACAAAACCCTTCAAAGAAAATCTTAAACCTCAAGCGCTAAACCTCCGGTAATGCTGTAACTCTCTCTACAAATGGCTATTCCCAGCAATTGTGTACAGCACATTGAATCATTCGTCAGCTCTTCGAGCTCTCCTGCCCAACAGGTTCATGCCCAATCTTCATGGTTTTCTTTTCTGCCTCTCTGTTTAATTTGGCTGAGCAACTCAGGAATCTCCCCTTGGCTATATAATACGCTGGTTGAGTTCACTACTATGCGTATATTTTCTATGGATTTGTTTGAGCAATTAACTTTGGTTGTAATTCGGTACAGACTGCCTTGTATGCGTAGTTATGTTATTCTTTTTTATATTCTGTACTCTGTTAATGTGTTTGGGTTACAGGCTGCAAGTGTAGAAAATATAGCTTCGCTTGTGAAAAATGACCAGTTAACATTAGACGGACTGGTATGTTTATTAAGTTCTCCCCTATGAATGGCCAATTTTTATGTAATTAGTTGTGTTTCTCATGGCTTGGGAATGGAACACTGTTTACTTATAGGTTAGGGAGATGGATATGTATTTGACGACTACAGATACCATCATTCGCTCAAGAGGTACCTTTCTCTTATGTTATACAGAGTATTTTATTTGTTTTGTGGTTAATTCTGAGAAACTATATGACTACTGGTAGCTTATAACTGATATTGTTCCACATATGACAAAAGGGTTCAAAAATAGATAAGCAATATGTGTGAATATATTCCCACTTTTCATCTCTCAAATACTGTTACCAATTCTTCCTTACCTCTTGAGTTTGGAACTTGATATCTTTTACCATGGAATACTAAAAGGTGGACATAAATGGTCTTTCAGTTAGGATTTCTTGAGGAAGAACTCAAGCTGAATGGCCCTTTCTGTTCTTTTTCCTAGTTCAGTCATTCTTGATTCGTTGTTACAAATTTTAGCATCAGGGAGGCGGGGGGGGGGGGGGGGGGGGGGTGTTCTACCAAATGTTTCAATAATTCCAATGCTTCTAGAGTTCTAGTTTTAGTTATCTGAATTTGTTAGTTGAAATCACTTCCATCTGTTGCTTAAAACATGAATTTTCCTTATACTCCCTCCGTTCTTTATTATCTGTCCCGCTAGCCTTGGACACAGGTTTTAATAGAAAAATAGTAGGGTAAATGTAGAGTGTGTAGGGTAAATGATAAAGTAGGAAAGATAGTATATCAAAAAGAGTAAAGTGGTGATAAAGTGATGATAAAGTACTCCCTCCGTCCCTTAAAACTTTGCCATCTTTCCTTTTTGGGACGTCCCAAAAAACTTTGTCACTTTCCCTTTTAATCAATTATTTTGTGGTTGATGTTATTTCTCTCTCATCTGCACAAACCTCAACCACATAGTTTTTACTTTATTATTCTCCGTGCCGGTCAACTTTGGCAAAGTTTTAAGGGACGGAGGTAGTAGTAAAGAGAGTATATTAAGTAGAGTAAAGTTATGATAAAGTAGGAAAGAGAAAGTAGTTTGTAAAAAGTAAAAAGGGTAAAAGTAATAAAAGTGGGGGTATTTTATCAAAAACTTTCCTAAAATAGAAAGAGAGACAAATAATAAAAAACGTCCCAAAAAGGAATGCGAGACAATTAATAAAGAACGGAGGGAGTATAAGATTATATTATTTTCAATGTTTAGGGTGCTTATTGTGGTAATACTTATTACTCCTTCCTGTCCCAATGTGGTTGTCTTACTTTCCTTTTTGAGTTGTCCCAAAATGAATGTCCTGTTTCCTTTTATGGCAAGAAATATGTGGTCCATATCATTCACTTATATCTACTCAAATCTCAACTACAACTTTTACTTTTCAACCACTATTAATAATCGTACATTCGTACCAAACTAAAACAAGACATCCAATATGGGATGTAGATAGTATTAGTTAGTCGGGGCTCTGCAGGTTACTGTCCCATTGTGAATTAACATGATACATTGCCCCCTCTCTTCTTGAGTTATATAACACAAGTCAAAGAAGATTCCAATGGTTGGCTAAATAACTAGCATAGAGAAATCGGCTTAACACATTGCTTATATTATATTTATAAGCATATTGTATGTGTGTGTATATATGTGTATAAATATAATATTGAAATAACAAAATTTCAGTAACGTAAGAAATAATACATCCATCCCCTGATGAGGGTAGAAAGTAATAAAGAAAATTTGTGATTACCTTTTTCAGTATCTTTCATGTGTTTGGTTCAATGTGGTGCCTTCCAGGGATCCTTCTTCTCGGGCATGTATTGGAGCAATTATCACTGAAACCTTTAAAAGGTGCCGCTATACAGAGTTTGACAGGATTCTTCATAGAGAGATTGGTGAGGCAACAATATAGTCTAGAACAGTAAAACAAAATATTCTTTTTTCTTTCATTTCTAGTTTTTGTGCTGAATGTATCCAATTACTGCCAATTCGCCATGTTATCTTCCATCATTTTGTTTTGCATGCCAATCGCCCCTGTCAGTTATCATTTGAATTCTATTTGATAGATGAACTTCTACTCATATCAGGTTGATTGGAAAGCTTTGCATGGCGCTCTAGTCGGTTGCTTGGCACTATTGAGAAGGAAACACATTGTTGGCAAGGTCACAGACAGCCAAGCAACGGCTGTTGCACAATCTTTTTTGGAGACCATGCAAGTGCAATCTTTGGGACGACATGAAAGAAAGGTACATACGTACATTAAGGTTTATCGTTGATCATTGGTGATTTGTCCATCAAACTCAAGCAAGCTAACTCCTTCCTGCGTATGGATTTAGCTTATTTAAATCTTCCTTCTGAGCTTAGCATATTTCATTCCTGCAGCTTTGCTTTCAAATTTTGGAATGCTTATTAAACAGCTATCCAGATGCAGTCGAACCAATGGTAAATCCACTGTTTGATCATTTTTACTGCTGTCATCATGGCAAACAAAATATCTGAAAATTTAAGTTTTTAATTTCATTTGAATTAAGTAACTTCACATAGCAATAACTGTCTGCTTTCATTATGATCATATGTACAAAAGTAGACACTTGATTTGAAGAAATAAGCAGGTTGTGCATTCTTGGAGGGAGCGAATGAGGTGCACTTTGAAAAATATTTGTGCCTTACAAATCTATGCAGCAGAGTAAATAACTAAGCCTCCATATCAATAAATTGATAAATGAAAAGGCTAAGCACTCAACTTTATCTTCTCACTAGGCTTGGAACAAATCAAATGTAGAAGTTTGTTTGAGTATTAGAGTCTGAAGTGAAATCTTCAAAGTGCGTGAAGTTTGCGCTGAAAGAGTGGGTTAATTTTAGCGTTCAAATGATGATGCGAAAAGTGAATGAGGAAGTGCAGATGACATCGTGATTTATATTGGCTTGGCTATGCCAACTCCGATACCCAAAGACACTTCCTTGTGGATTCCAGAATGCACTAGTCATTGAGTCTCCTTGAATATGAGGAAAGGCACCACTTTAAATTTTGGCAAACAACCCTTGCTAATGGGTATGATGATATATACCAGCTGATCTCCTCAAGAGGATTTTGCTTGCGACTCTCCTCCACTGTATGAGGATTTGGTTCCTTTTTTCATTATTTTCTACCATTTTTCTTTGTAAAAAGTAAAAGTATAGAGAGACTGGTATGCTGAAAAGGAGTGCAGATCTTAAATGCTCATAAACGTCAAGACACGTTGAACGATAAGAATGTTACTAGTCACAAAGACACCCATTACGATCTCACAGTATTCTTGTTTGTCTCCATCTTAACCATACTGTTCGCCGGATAGATCCAATGTGGCACATTTTTATCAATATCTTTGCTTTTTCTACATAATAGATCTCCAAACACTTGAAGCATCTACTAACTTATATTACCTCCGTCCCCCTAAGTTTGGGACAAAGGGGTGTGGTGTGGTTTTTAAGAAAAAATAGAATTGTGTGGTTGGTATTGAATTGAAGTGTGAATAAAGTAAGAATGAATTTTAACCACTCAAATATTACCAAATATGGTATGAGACAAACTTAATGGGATGGACGAAAAAGGTAAAACGGGACAAAGTTAGGGGGACAGAGGGAGTATTTCTCTACTCCAAGTTCACCCTACTTTGCTCTTTAATGGTGCTAAAGTTGCAATCCACATACTTCAAGTGTCTCCATGTGTCTAAGTTCACACCTAGCCATTATCCGTTGTTTGAACTCATCAATTAACACTGTATCATGTTAGTATGTTAAGCTATCCTTTCTTTGGACTCATCCACCAACATGATATCATGTTACTTTATGAGTCCAAACTTCAAAAAAGGGATAAATGCTAAGTTTGAAATATGAAAATAATAGTTTTGACATCATTGTGGAGTCGAGATATCATGGTTCTGGTACTCAACCTCCATGCGGATAACATGGTACGAGCCAACAATGGTTGAAAAGTCTAACTGTAGAGTTCCAGATCATGAGTTTGACGAAGCTTGGCAAGATCACCTTCTCGATTTGAACTACTGGGTGGGCCAAAACGTTTGGTGTAGAAGTCTGCTAAGGTGATCTCCGTAATTCCTGTATCGCCCATAGTTGGGCAGTGCCTATCATGTGGAATGTTGCCAATCCCACTTGAGCTTGGGCTGGTGTTCGTTATTGATTAAAGAAGCTCTTGCAACGTTCAGCCACGACAAGGGATCAATTTTCCCGAGAGAATTCCAGTTTGGAGTAGCGGGGAACTAAGGAATCGTCCGTTTCACGCCGACGAGGTTCTGTGTCGCATTGTCGTTCATGCCGTGGATTACTGGAGGAAGATTCGCCCATCAATCTTGGCGTGTTCGAAGATAGTGCAGTTACCACGGTAGGGAGGTTATCTAGCTTAGCAACGACATCCTTGACGTTTGTCAGTTGATTTTGGTTGCAAGTTGCCTGTGATCGATGTTTTCAATCATGTCTTTGAGTGAGCGAGCGTTAGATGCTTTGGTCGCCATTGTCCCGAATGTTGATACCACATTGTTAAGAGCAGATACACAAGACCACGTCTATGTTGAATTTATGTTGTTAATGACAGGCAAGAACGGAAGATTGGCAAGGAACAAGAGCTTAGAGAAGTAGGGAATTTGGGATCTATGTTGAATTTAGGGAAAAGTCCGGGAAAAGTACTTGTGGTTTGTCCCGTTTTCAGATAGGGGTATTGTTTCATTTTTTAACAAAGTAGGACATGTGTTTAAATTCCGTTATCACAAGAGGGGGGCATGACGCCTAACTCCATTAGAAATCGCTAGAGGAAGATGATGAAGTATGAACAGTAACTCTGATTTTTAAAAGTGCCCGAAAAATTAATAGAAAAATACTGGGAGGTGCGCCTCGTCAAGGAGACCTCCAAACCCTCTTCCTCTTTGGATATTTTTGACTTTGTTTTGATTATTTTTTAAAAACGAATTCTCTAATATCACTTTTCCGGTGAAAACAAAAAAGAAAGACGGTTTGGTGGTCTCCTTGACGAGGCACACCTCCCATTATTTTTCTTTTAATTTTTCAGGCATTTTATAAAATCAGAGTTACAATTCATTGTCTTCCTCCGGCGATTTCTAACGGCGTTAGGTGCCATGCCCCTCATAATGGAATTTAAACACATGTCTTACTTTGTTAATAAAATGACACAAATGCTCCTATCTGAAAACGGGCCAAACCACAGGTACATTTTCCATATTTTTCCCTTGAATTTATTAAGTGGAAGAAATAAAAGAAGGCTTTATGGAATTAATCTGATCTCAGAATTACTCAAGATATCCAAGAATTAATTCTTCAAACCTGTTTATTAATTTAGTTGAGAACCCCTTATATAGGTATTATTGGAGTCCTAAAGTTTAGGACCTAAACTGAAAGAGAGAGATAGAGTTGTAATTAGACTATAACTCTAATTGAAGAAGACAAATGAACTAGAATTAAGTAATATCAATACTAATAGAACTAGGGATACCCAGACTGCTTGCTTTGGATGCAAGCCAGTCTTGGGGCCTGGAGTTCTTTCTCAGCCACTATGAGTTTCAGGTTCATCCTTCCCGATCATCCGGCTTCTATGTTGACACTTGATACTTACGGCCATAGAATTGCCTGTAACAATATGTTAATGGGTAAGTATCCCATTACGGAAATTGTAGTCCATGACAGTTGACATGTAAAGAGGAATTGCGGCAGATCGCAAAAACATGGATTAAGGTGTTAAAAGGTCATTAGGCCATTAGGGTATTTGTACTTAATGAGCACACGATGGATGATAGAAAAAGATACAAAGATAGCGGTGTATATAACCTTAGACAATTATCTATGGGTTCATGTATTCGCTTAAGGATTATGTTTGGTTGCTAGTTTTTTGCTTTGGTTTCTAACTCTCTTACAAGGAAATAAGTGGTTAACCAGTTATTGTTCTTCAGCTAGGAGAATAGTTGAACTTGAACCCAAAAGCCATTTTTTTTTTCTATATCCATTTTTTCTCCTAGAAAATGAAAATTTCCCCTTTTCAAAACAGGCCATGAATTTTGCTGTGACACCCACTTGTATTTCCTGATGTTTTTTCTGTTATTTCAAATCTTTAAACTAGTTCTTTGACATCTTTCCAAGGGTGATGTCCTTGTTTATGGAATCTGTGAATCGATCGATGGTGAAAAAGATCCTGAATGCTTGATGCTCATATTTAGGATTGTTGAAGCTCTAGCGCGGGTGTTTCCTCATTCTTGTGGTTCACTAGCAAGTTATGCCGAGGATCTTTTTGAGATTCTTGGGTGTTACTTCCCTATCCATTATACACATGTGAGATCACCAAATTTATTCTTACTTTATTTTTTTGATGTTATCTTGCTATTATTTAGGTTTATTTCATTAGTTATTACTTGAAAAAGATAAAGCATTTTTAATGTTAGAACTTAGAATCTAATGTTAGATCCCTTTATTGGTTCTGTTGCTGTTTGTTCTTGTCACTTCTTACTTTTCTTTCCTATGCTGCTGCTTTTTGTTATTTCCAATATCCAGTCAAAAAGCCAGGATGTTGATATAAAGAGGGAGGAGCTCTCACAGGCACTGATGGTACGCCTTTGTCTGAAATGTACTCTATTCTATCATCAAGCCTTGCATTTGGAAACTCTTGTGTGCCTTTTTTACCAATATTTCTATTATTCAATTTGTATGGAAACATATAGGTAGTAGCAGTGGCGGACCCAGAAAGTCAGAGCCACGAGGTCCCTACCTTTATATATCTTTGATCTCTAATTAATATAAAACTAATAAAAATATATTAAAGAAGCATAACACTTCAAAGTTAACGTACACCATCAAAATATTAAGATATATTATAAAGCACAAAGTTACATACAAAAGTCATTCAACAATTCTAGAGATGTACCCTCCTAGGCTTCATTTGTTGGAAATAATCTATAATAGAATCATCACTAATCGTACCAAAAACATCTCTCTCAACATATGTAACTGAGCAATCATTCAACCATTGATCGCAGACTTTAAAAAAAAATCTTCTTGAAAAAATATTAAAGTTGAGTGACTCTGTGGCAAGCACTGAGTTATTGCCACATCAAACCTGCTCTCAATCATTCTCAAGAGATTCTTTAAGAGATGATGCAACTTTGTCTTTTACATGAACAAGACCAATAAATCTCTCCAAAACAGAACCATTACTAGCAACAAAACGCACAACAATTGCCATTTGCTCTTTACCAGAAACATCCCCTGATTCATCAACTAATATAGCAAAAACATCATCTCTCATTTGCTTAATAATATCATGAACAGTTAGAAATGCACGAGCATAACACAAGTCCTTTTGAATTTTGGGTGAAGTCATCTGATTGTTTTGTGGAGCATTTTTTAGAACTCTATCTATCTCAGAATCATGTTGTCTCAAAAGATCTAGTCTCAAGAAAATGACCTTTATAACTAGACTCTATTGATTCGTCATGACCCCGAAATGGCAAACCCGCTAAAAGAAGAAATCTAGTGCACTCAAGTGATGCCTTCAAGCGAATAAGGTAATCAGACTTCACTTGTTCATATTGTTTCACAAAACATGCTTCAATACTTTGTTTTTGGTTCATCAAATCTTCCGATCTTTTCACCGCATTGTAATGAGGACTGTTAGGTTTACCAACATGTAAATAAAACCTATCTTTTTTATTCCATGCTGAAAACCCAATTCCCAAAAAAGATCACCACCAACTTCCCACTCATTCTTAAACAAATAACATGACAAACAAAATGCAACATCTTTGGCAATACTGTATTCCAACCATTTATGCTCATCAAACCAACTTGAAACAAATCTACGTTTTTTGCCTCCAATTAACTTAAAAGGGAAATCATGGTCCCGAGGTTGAAACGGTCCTTTTTGAATGTAACTACGACGTACCTCATCTTGAACATTAGGGTGAAAGTTAGTAATCCTTTTTCTCAATCCAGGATCAGCTTCCAAAGATTCAAAATCCTCATGTTGTTCAGGTAGATTATAAGCCAAATTAGCTTCAATTTCAGCAATTACTTGATCCGATTCTTCATTTACAGAACTAACTTTGAGTTTAATGATAGATTAATGGTGGATCATTTGAATTAACGCCCGAACTACTCCCGGTACTTTGAGTTTCTTTAAATTTGGGTACAACATTAAAATATCTTTTCATCCTAAATCATATAAAATTGAAAATAACATTTATAAATACATGAATTTATTAATTTAATCTAACATTAAAAAAAGATATGCAAAAAAAAGCAATTAAAAGAACGACGTAGTTTTGGACTTTTGGTATATTTATATTTAATTTAAAAAATTGAAAACCCTAAGTTTTGAGCATAAAGAAAATCGCACCAAAAAACTTGAGAAACGCCATTAATGGAGAAAAGAAGAGAAGAGTACCTTAGTGGATTGGCCGCTTCCCGCTTGGTTGATGATGAAAAGGGAGAGACCGAGAGACAGACCGAGAGTGCAGAGACTCCAGAGAGCCAGTCAGCCAGAGAGGGGTGTTCGCCGTTCGGTGTTCCTGTTCCGTGTTCGCCAATCACCGCCGCCGGTGCCTGGTGGTCATCGGATCGTCGTGCAGTCAGGCAGTTCGCGCACAGTTGGGGCCTGGCCGCCTGGGGAATCGCAGCCGGTGCTTCCACTCTTCCAGCGACCAGCGTGAAAGGAAAAGACTCAAAAGAGGGCTGGGTGCCTGGGTCTAAGTTTTGGGCCTAAGTTCCAAACAAAAACATGGGCTAGGCCTTTCGTTAAAGACAAAAAAAACGCCAAAAAAAAGAGAAATCAACGGGATTCGAACACAGAACCTCCCGTAACATAGATACTTTGCACCCGTGCCTTATCCCGTTCCGCTACTCCATTCTTGTTGTTTTAAAGTGGCTTTGTGTGTAAAAATACATTGAAAAATTAATTTTAAATAATATATATATAATATATATATATAGGTTTTTTTCGGAGGTCCACGGGGTCCCGGGACCCCTTGGGACCCTTAGTGGGTCCGCCATTGGGTAGTAGAACAAATTGTTTTCGAGAAATGTTGAGATGTCTTAAGCAGTACATATTAGATTAGATCTATTTGATGAGACATGTGTCAATTGCATCTTATTTCTTCAATTTTCTAATTTTCCTAAGATTTGGTAGATATATACCTATCTTGAGATTCCAATAACCATCACCCAATTATCAATGTATGTGATGGATTGTATATCCGGGGATACCGCTGGGGGTATCTAGAGAGATGTCAGAACAAGTAAGAGAGAGTGAGTATTTATTCAATGAAGTTGTTCTATATGGGATTTGGGATTTGGGTCCTTTACAATGAAGAAATGACTTGCTATTTATAACAATCATAAATGATAGGTGCAATAAGTGAGGGTACACGTGACAAGTAACCAGCGGTGGAGAGTCAACTCAGCCAGGGTGTCACCGGCATAGCATGTGGCCGCATTCAATGTGGTGGTTTGGATGTAACGTTGCATTTATTGCATTTAATGCGGTGATTCAGCGCATGCAGAGAGGAGATCTTGTCGGGGTAGTGTCGGAGGCCATACGTACCTCGGAGGCCTTTAATGTGCTGAAGGATGTACGTCCTCTAGGGCCTTCATGTGCCGGAAGATGTACGTAGCTGGATACCGCCATGTGTTAAAGGCCGTACGTAGCTGGATACCGCCATGTGCTAAAGGCCGTACGTACCCCGGGGGCCTTAATGTGTCGAAGGACGTACGTCCCTTGGGGACTTCATGTGCTGGAGGACGTACGTCCCCTGGGGCCTTCATGTGCCGAATGACGTACGTCCCTTGGGGACTTCATGTGCTGGGGGACGTACGTCCCTTGGGGCCTTCATGTGCCGAATGACGTACGTCCCTTGGGGAGTTCATGTGCTGTAGGACGTACGTCCCCTGGGGCCTTCGTGTGCTGAATGACATACGTTCCCTGGGGACTTCATGTGCCGAAGGACGTACGTACCCGGGGGCCGGCTTATACTGAAGGCCGTACGTCCCCAGTAAATTTTCCGGACCAGGTGCGGCTGTTTCTGGACGTACGTACCTCGTTGTAGTGTGCCGTACGTCCCCAGTGAGGTGTCCGGAGTGCTGTTTGCTGTGTTTGGGCAACTTGGGCCTGTTGGGCCTGTTTGTAGAAGTGGAAGTATGTGGGCCGGGGTTCCTGAGCCATATACTCCATCAGTATGTTTGCTAATTTCAAATTGACTTGGTTTTTTAGATTGATTCACACTAAAGAGGCTTGGAACGTAATCAATAGCTATATTTTATTTGGAATAGTACACATAGTGTGTGTTTATAATACCACTAAAAACTAAGGCACCAAGGGGGTACTAAAGAAGTGTGGCAAAGAATTCCTATTAAAAAGAAACTTAAAAGTGTGAATAGTAGGTCTTTTAAGCATTTTGTAAAGAAGCTTGTCTAATGACGTAGTACTTACAGTCTGTGCGCTAGTATCAATAACAACCCCTCTAAGTAGGGGTTTCTCAATTTCTTCCAAACCAAACAGGGAGGCTGCCTCCCATACATTTGTTACCATGATTATCATTTGAGCATCATATTCGCTTTTTCATCTCCTTTTTTGTGTGTGTTCCAGCTGGCATTTGCGTCTACACCTTGTTTTGAACCATATGTAATTCCATTACTTCTTGAGAAACTATCTTCTGATTTGCCGTCAACGAAGGTTAGTTCAAGTGTACAAATCACTGTTAAGCATTGGGATTCAAATCCAAAGTGAATACATTTATTCATTTCTTAACTCTCCATTGAGGCAGGTTGAATCTCTCAAGTTCCTTAGCTACTGCACGTTGAAATATGGGGCGGATAGAATGCACAAGCATTATGAAGCTCTTTGGTCGGCACTGAAAGATACAATATTTATCAAACCACAATCTGCAGTGTTAATAGAATCTGGATTAGTTGACGGTATATATTTTCAAGAGAGTGAAATAATGATTCAAGCTGTAGAGCTGCTTCAGACGATTGTTCAGCAAAGTAATGGTTCTTTCATAAGTACTGTTCTGGATGATGAAGACATAAAGACATTTATAAACTCATTGAATGAGTTAAAAGATCTTGGTAATGCTTCTGTACAAAACAAACAGAGATTGCATGCAGTTGCTTGTATTCTCTCAACTCCTGCCAGATCTTGTGTAGCTTCTTGTGATGCAGTTTTCAAAAGCGTATTCACTCTCTTAATGGATGCATTAAAAATTTCTGATGATAATGTCTCTAAAGATAGCATTCTTACTTGTACATCATTCAATTTTGGAGCCTTGTATCTCTCTGTTGAACTACTGTCAGCATGCAGACATTTGGTGTTGTTGAGCTATGATGGTATAACGCCTTCTCCTGATTTTCCCAGTATGGCTTGGCCTGGCATACTACGTGGCTTCTCTACTTCATTAAGCGTTTTCTTAATTTCTCTTCTACACGCACCTGGTGCTGAAAGCTTCCCCAATGTGTATATTTACTATGCAGGTATAGAGAAACACTCTTATATGAAACAATGTTTGTTCTTACACTTTTTTTTTATCCAATTGGTTTTTTCATCATGGGTCATCCAGAAACAGTCTCTTTGTGCTTTAGTACAGGGGTAAGACTGCATACATCTGACCCCCCTTACCCCATCGTAAGTGGAAGCCTTTGCGGCACTGGGGTAATGTTGTTGTTTGTTGGTTTTGACAAGATTCACCCACCTTTCTGTTTTTTACCCAATGCAGTTAATGGTTTGAAGACTCTTGCTATGTTTCCGGGAAGCTTCAGTTCAGTGCCAATGCCTATTTTTGAGAATGTTTTGTTAACTTTGATATCAGTAATTACTACTGATTTTGACAAAACATTTTTATTGAAAACTGCATTGAAAGCTTTAGTAGATATTGGTTTGTATATTGATAAGTTCTGTGAAGTTGAGAAAGTTTCGAGCTTTGAAAGTATTGTCATGGAAAAACTTGCTTTCCTGATATCTTCGGATGACCTTACGGTGCCTCTGTCTTTCAAACTCCAAGCAAGTTTTGATATTGGAGTTACTGGGCTGAAGTATATGAAGAAAGTAGTTCATGAATTGGACAAGACACTATCTGACAAATTGTCTCATGTATTTGTACGTATATTGTTGATCAACATATTCAATAAGCTCGCATGCTGAGGCGGATTAGAAATCCAGTTGTTCATATAAAGTTTTGCTATATAATGTCATTATCAGAAGGTGTTAGAGAATGCATACCATGAGGCATTGACAGCAAAGGCTTTAGCATGCATCCCAGTTCTTTTTTTTTCATTATTGTGTTCGTGATTATCTTTTAATTAACACGTGCTATGGCAGGTCAGTGAGAATGTGAAGTCGATCCGGATGACAATCTCACTATTGGACAGCTATGCTGGGAAGGTCCTTCCATGGCATGCATCTGTTCTCAGTCTCTACGTGCTATTATCTGTAGCCCTTACCTTCTACACTAGTATCTTCATCTAACCCTTAATTTTTCAATTTGTCACAAATGAGATATTTTACAACTTATGCAGGTGGCCTTCTCCACCACCTGCTCAACATTGAACCATAACTATTTTTTACTGATATATGTGCATCAAATTCTCCAATTACTAACATTGTTGGACATTTTATGCTTCTTCTCTATATTCGTAGTACTTGTTTAACAATTAACATAGGATCCATTGACACTGGCTAGTGGTTATTGATTAGGCATGCCAAGTTTCCAATGAACTACAAAAGACAATTTTGTGTAAGACTGTACTTAGTGTTCCAATTTAAAATCAAACTTAATACAAGAATACCACAACTAGCTCCTTTCTTTGCATCCCTTTGCCACAAGTAAGCCATTGTGTGCCGATCAAGGCTGGTAAGTCCATCGGTCCACATGGTTGTCCATGTCTTAGTAGAAGATGCTGCAGCTACCGCAGCCCCTGCTTCTTCAAGGGGGACTCCGGGCTGAGTAGTTACTTGAATTGCTGCCAAGACATCAGTATCTTTGTCTACTAATTAGGAGTATAATAAGTCAATTTGTAATCTTTAGCACCCGCTTTGAATCCAAGATGTGCTTTAGTCTCTGTGGTGTCATAACTCAGTTCTTTGCATTTTTTATATTAAAATACCACAGTTTACCATACAACCGTAACTGGTGATGTAAAGTGATTTTTCTCGTCTCCAGGTTTCATAACAATGGAGGTTCTGATGAAGTTCCTTTGAATCTTGCATTTGTTATATTGGAAAATATTGAAAAAAGTTCGCGTTCCAGCACTGGTTTTCAGGAAACTGTAAGTGAGCTGATGTTTTTAACACTGTCAGTTGATTTAGCATTAAATGCTATATTGACAAGTCTATGTTATCAGTTTTCTATTGGTATCAGAATATCAGTTGCAATTGAGTTATGGATTGATTATTGATTCTATGCATATATTACTCTTCATTCAGGAACTTCTTGACGCAATAACGAGAGCGCTGAAACATGCCGTAGCCAACTGTTCAGAGGGAAACCAGGAGAAAATTATTAAAAGAGCTTTTGGCTTGATTTCTTCAGACTCATTTGAGGATTCAAAACCTTCTATTACATTATTCAACTCCAGTGACGGACAACTTACTAGCTTCTTGGATGAAATTTCATGCAGAGATGAATGCATTGCGTCACTTATTGCCTCAGTCATAATAGCTTTAGGCCCTCAAAGTCACGTACCAAATCTTAAACTGCTATTGGAGTTCTTTTTAATGAACCTCCTCAGAGGTCACATTCCATCAGCTCAGGCATTGGGGTCTTTGGTTAACAAACTGCCTTTAGAAAACGATGAAAAAAACATTAACCTGGAAGAAGCAATAGATGCATTATTTAACGAAGAAATCTGGGATTTCTACAATTTTTACGATGGAAATAAGTGCTCTCTTATGGACAATGGTGGTTATATAAATTTCTGTAGGCTAAGGTTAAATGACCGTTATGTGTGTTATACTGCTCATGCTATTGTTGGATTAGCCTGGATAGGGAAAGGTTTACTTATGCGTGGTCATCAAAAGATAAAAGGCATTACTAGCTCCTTCTTAAATTGCATACTATTAAATGGAAATGGTGGGACCCTTCACGACTCAGACGCTCTGGTGGAAGACAATGAAGGGCTAGAAAGGCTGTTTTTGAGGAAATCTGCCGCCGATGCATTTCATGTTCTTATGAGTGATTCGGAAGCTTGTTTAAATAGAAATTATCATGCTACTATTCGTCCACTTCATAAGCAACGGTTTTACAATACGATGTTGCCTATATTATTATCATCAATTTTGGAGTGTGATTCACCAACTACACGGTATGTATTGAGAAATGGTCATGAACATATTTTCATTTCTTTTTAAATCATTCTGCTGCATAAACGTTGCACCCCTATCCTGCTTTTGTAGTAGTGGAGACTGGAATCGTCGTAGTGGTTCTATTGACATACATAGAATAGCTTAAGACTAAAGGTAGATATTAGAACATAGAAGGCAGATATTTCCATTTTCAGGTTGAGATCCTCTATTTTGTCAAGTCTACTTGAACCTTTTTTTGATTTAACTTAACTGTCATTCTAAAATGAATATTTTGATCTTAGTTTAGTGTCGTTTTTTCATTCTCTTAGCTTTCTTAACATACTCCTGAATTCTTCAGTGTGATTATTCTTAACAGGTGAGACTCTTAATTGACTAATCAGGCTAGAACTTCTGTACACCTAGATTCGGTTTTTAGCATCAATGCATAGTTTCTGAAAGTTTTGGGTTCCGAGTGTATTCTATATTTGCATGTCTTTCCATGATTTGAGCATGGAAGTGTGTTCTACTTCCCTACACCTAGATTCAATTTTTAGCATCAACTTAGTTTTTGTTGAAGATTATTTATGAAGATTATAGGGACCTAACAGTTTTTGATGTAAAAGTTCTGCCTAAGTTATTGTGTTTATTTAGTATAAATTGCTCGTCCTAATGGAGATGCCCAAACATATAACGTACAAAAGAATGGACTTTTGCTTGTAAGCCACCTGCCCAATGGTAGATACTCCATAGAAGATAAAGGTATCAAAAGGGGAGGTTTCTCGAGATGTTAAAATGCAAATTGCCATGATTACATTTACTGATAATAAAATGTCCTCTTTTTGGAAACCTTTAATTGATAAGGAACACAAATAGTTTTAGGCTTTGTCATCTTATATTTTCTTGGGTTCAAATTTATTAATTTTCTTTTGGTTTCAGATCCTTACTGTACAGAGCTTTCTCACATTTGATCACTGGTGCTCCTCTCACCGCTGTTGTTAATGATTCCCGTAAGGTAAGATAAGTACCAATATTAAAAGAAAACCACCAATTTTTGTTCTACATTTGAAACTAGATACAACAACAGCATTACCCCAGTGCTGCAAAGGCTCTCACCTACGGTGGGGTAAGGGGGGTCAGATGTACGCAACCTTACTCCTGTACTAAAAGTACCAAGAGGCTGTTTCCGGATGACACATAGATACAATTGAAACTAGATATGTAAAGATAATCTTTTACAAATAAGGACAACCAGTGTGGCTGAGCAGTAGTCATACCAGTACTACTATTGCTATCCTCTGTGGTAGTAGATTAGGCGGATAGTAGCACCCACCATAGGAGGTGGTGCTGGATAGTAGCACTCGCCATCAGTCACAACACCAGATAGTTGAAGGAGGCACACGACACAACAGTAGTCATCTTCGGTTGTGGCTTTGGACAGTAGCGGTGGTCTGCGGTTGTCGGAGGTGGCCCCTGTGCATGGTGCTACTGGCCTACTGCTACTGTCATTTTGTTAACCTTATTTGTAAAAAAAATATTTAAGGTTGGGTTTTTATATTTACAAACATGATCAGGTGGTGCTATGTACCGCAAGTTAATTACAAATATAAACTTGTTCTTAGGTTGTCCCTGTGCTACTAGATTGCCTATTAATGTTGCAAGATGATGAACATGATAAAGATATCATCTTCAGTGTCTTATTAGTCCTATCTGGAGTATTGATGGATAAAGTTGGTATGTACTCTTACAAGAATCTATCCTGTTATGCTGAAAGTATTACTCCGTAATATTAATGTTATTCACTATGTGATTGTGCTCACACCATATTAGGCAGTATGTGGTATGTCTAGTTACTGGAAATGCTTAGCAGATATTCTTTTTTACCAATAAATTGCGTTTATGCATTCCCTGATTTTTATTGTAAGAAGCAACATCCAATCCTTGAGTTTGGGGTCAGAAAGAAGCAACAGGAAACAGGAAAATATTTCTTTGGAAAGTAGTTTGGATTTACTAATTTGAATCATCGTTCAAGTCCATGGATTCCTCAGCATCAGTTGTGTTTGGATAGAAAATTATGGGAAAAGGCTTGCTCTTTTTAGTCATAAAAGAGGTTATCCATGCATTGGACTGTCTCAAACAGAAAGGGACATATAGAAACAAGGAAACCTATAGAAATTAAGGAAAAAATATAGTATTAGGATTTATGGAACTATTTATATTATTGTAATACTACGTATATTCTAATACCCCTCAACGACATGGTAATCTGCTAAAATTTTCCATGAGTTCGCAAAATAAGTTAGGTAGGCAAAAATTGTAAGTCAGCGATGCCATTCTTTTGAAACCCGCTAAAAGTCACTAAAACTAAGGGAACACCATTCTGTTCGAGCTACTCGCCCAAAGTAGTATCAATCAAATGATGAATGCTATTCTTTTCGAGCCACTCATATCGGTTGTAACAATCACCAACATACTAATTAGTTATATATGTTACATGTGATTAAACCTAACAAATAATCTAAAAGAATTTGTTTTTTCTCAAATAAGACTCTTTATGGGTGATGGAGGTAGTGGAATATTTATTCTTACAACCTACCCCAAGTCCCTACTACTGTTTGCAAGAGGCAATGAATGTGCTATATTTCAAGGATGCATATATATATATATATATATAGAGTGGTGTTCCGGTCGGGAATTCCTGACCAGAACCGCCGTCCGGACGACGGCTTTTGGGGACCTTCCCGGTGGAGTTTTTTGATGAAATTTTTATGGCATGTTCTTCATCAAGTCTAGTTTATCCACAAAAAAATTCAGCTAAAAACTCAACCGGGAAGGTCGTCAAATGATTTTTACAAGATAACTGCGCCGGAAAATACATATAAAACGCAGTTAACTTTTAAAAATCATTTGACAACCTTCCCGATTGAGTTTTTAGCTGATTTTTTGTGTGGATAAACTAGACTTGATGAAGAACATGCCATAAATATTTCATCAAAAAATTCCACCGGGAAGGCGGCCAAACGCCGCCGTCCGGACGGCGGTTCCTGTCCGGAATTCCGGACATGAACTTTCCTCTCTCTCTCTCTCTCTCTATATATATATATATATATATATATATATATATAGGGGAGGGTTCACATGCAAAGAGGGTTTCACATGCAAAGTGAGAATTAATCTTGTGCATTCATTTTCAGATCTAATGGCTCAAAATGAGCCAAAAATGCACTAAATTTGATCAAAAAACAGGGTGACAATTTCGTAAATAAATCGAAATTTTCTGCCACCGCGAAAAAGTGCAACAGAAACATGCAATAGTGCAACACGGTGAGTGAAAAATGCAACCGTTCGCACTTTGCACGGGAACACCTCTTTTTATTTGAACTCTTCCCTATATATATATCTTTGAATTTTACATTTTATTTGTTGGTGTAATGACCAATTGCGCACCTGATAACCATGAACCATACCAGACTCTATATTACAGAAGGTGTGCTCTCTACTTTAACAACTTTGACACATTTTGCAAGATTATTTCCCAAATTAATTTATTGATTATTGCAGGACAAGAGGCTGTCAATGAAAACGCTCATCTTGTTGTCCATCAACTTGCTAAACTCGTTTCATATCCTCATATGATGGTATTTCTTGCCTATATTCACCTATTCTACATTCTTTGACCAGTATGAAATTGTTAAGATTATCGTGCTTGAGAATTTTCAAATTATTCAGGTAGTCCGTGAAACAGCAATTCAGTGTCTGATGGCCTTGTCAGGTCTACCCCAATCGAGAATATATCCCTTCAGAAAAGAGGTTAGTTTTTAGAGGTTAAATAATGAAATGCTATTATGCTAATCAGATATTGATGTGATCCTTCCCGTTTTGCAGCATCAACTCGAATCACCTAGTAACCATTTTGCAATATCAACCGAGTTCACCTAGGCAAAAAGGTTTATATAGCCATTAATGGATTTAAGTACTGACCACACATGAAATCATCAGAAATTGTGGCTCATGAAATGGATACATTGATTACGAATCATCTTCCTTCCTTTATAGCTATGAAATCAACACTAGCCAGTAGTTTAACAGATATGATTGATAGTGAGAAAAGCATCTCATATTAATTTTATACTCCTTCCATCCCTGAAAAAGGTTGTCCCTTTTCTTTCTTTGTCCGTCCTTGAATAAGGTTCATCTTTCCTTTTAAAAGAAAGAATACTGTGGACTAAATTTTTCTCTCTACACAAGTTGTAACCACACAATTTCTCTACTCTTAATAAGCGTGCAAAGGAAAAGGTCAAAGTAGAATGCAGACATTAAGTCAAAGGTCAAGTTCTCTCTGCACAACTTGTAACCACACAGTTTCTCTGCACAAATTTTTGATGTCTGGATAGAGGAAGCATAATTCTTGGCACTCTGCTCGAGTCAACAAACTACAACATCCAAGTCTTAGTTCCAAAATAGTGTGGGGTCTGCTAACATGAATCAAGATGAGAAATCGAAGTTAAAAACTGTAAGTTTGAAGAATTAATCTTCCTTGTATATTATTGAGCCATCCGGCAATGATATATATACAAGTTTACAGATAAACTAAAGTTGTTACAGATCCTAAATATTAGGATCTATCTATTCTATCTAATCTGCGAGCTAATCTAAGAATTAGAGACCTAAATCAACTCTAATTCCTATCTATACAGTCCCGGATGTACAAATAATAAAAATAACATGTATATGCTACATTTTTCTACACTCCCCCTCAAGTTGGTAAGTATATATCATACATTCCCAACTTGCTTATAAGAAATTCAAACACTGGTTTAAACAGCCCCTTTGTAAAGATATCAGCTGTTTGTTCTTTGGTAGATATGAATGGTGTGCACACAATTCCAGCTTCAATCTTCTCTTTGATAAAATGCATGTCCACTTCAATGTGTTTAGTACGATCATGTAGCACAGGATTGTGAGCAATATTAATGGCTGCTTTATTGTCACAATATAACTTCATAGGTAGGTCCATTTCCATATTCAACTCTGACATCATTCTCTTGATCCAAAGTAGTTCACAGATTCCATTAGCCATAGATCTAAATTCAGATTCTGCACTACTTCTGGCAACTACATTCTGCTTCTTACTCCTCCAAGTCACCAGATTCCCCCATACATAAGTACAATACCCAGATGTAGACCTTCTATCAGTTATTGAACCAGCATAATCTGCATCTGTAAAGGCTTCTACACTTCTATTGTCACTTCTTTTAAAAAATAATCCTTTCCCTGGACAGCTTTTCAAATATCTTAGGATCCTGTAGGTAGCATCTAGATGTTCCTGGAATGGATTATGCATGAATTTACTAACCATACTGACTGCAAAGGCAATATCTGGCCTTGTATGTGCCAGATAAATCAACCTTCCCACCAATCTTTGATATTGGTGAATATTAACTGGTACTCCTTCCTTGACATTTCCTAACTTTTGATTAGGGTCAATTGGAGTATCTATTGGTCTGCAGGCACTCATACCTGTTTCATGAAGTAGGTCTAGTACATACTTCCTCTGAGATACCACAATTCCCTTCTTTGATCTGGCTATCTCCATGCCAAGAAAGTACTTCAATTCTCCCATGTCTTTGATTTCAAATTCCTGAGCAAGCTTCTTCTTCAGGTCTTCAATCTCTTTACAATAGTTTCCTGTAAGAATTATATCATCCACATAAACAATTAGTACTGCAATCTCTCCCTTAATGGAGAATTTCATGAATAGTGTATGGTCTGCTTGGGCTTGCTTGAATCCCTGCTTCTTTATGAATTGAGTAAACCTTTCAAACCAAGCCCTTGGGGACTGTTTAAGTCCATATAAGGCTTTCTCCAGCTTGCACACCTTTGAGCCATATTGTTCCTCAAACCCAGGAGGGGGGCTCATGTATACTTCCTCTTCAAGCTTCCCATTTAGGAAAGCATTCTTCACATCTAACTGTTGAAGAGGCCCGTCTAGGTTAGTAGCTAGAGATAGTAGGATCCTTATAGTATTTAATTTTGCAACTGGAGCAAAAGTTTCTGTATAATCTATGCCATAGGTTTGTGTGTATCCTTTGGCAACCAATCTGGCCTTATATCTTTCAAGTGTACCATCTGCCTTGAATTTAGGGGTAAATACCCATTTGCATCCCACCCTTGGTTTGTTTTTGGGTACTTCTACAGCCTGCCATGTCTGATTCTTTTCAAGAGCATTCATTTCTTCTAAAACAGCCTTCTTCCACTCAGGTATAGATAGAGGTTCCTGTATGGTTAAGGGAATAGAAACAATGGAAAGACTAGAGGTAAAGGCTGCAAATGATGTAGATAACTGAGAATAGGACAGATAGTTTGAGATAGGGTATTTAACACATGATCTTTTTTCTTTTCTGAGAGCAATGGGTAGATTTAGATCACTGAAATTATTACCTTTGTCATTTTCTGGCATTGAGTCAGATTCATGAGCAGTGGCAGGATCAGGGATGTCCTCTATTCTGTGATTTGGAACTCTCCTTTCATAAACCTTGCCAAAAAACTTACTTGTCTGCTGTTCATCATCTTTCCTTGTTTCAGAAAAATTTATTTCATTTTCTTTTGACTCTTGACTATTTTCTAGTGCATCTAACTGTCTATTATATTGTGCATCTAGATTAATGTCAAGAGATTCTAGTTTTTCATGGATATGTGACACATTATCACCATCTTCATTAGGAATCTCCCCCTGTAGATGAGTACCAAAAAAAGTTGATCTTCTACAAAAAACAGTGTTCATAGTTATAAACATCTTTTTTGTTATAGGTTCAAAACATTTATAGCCTTTCTGAGTTGAAGATAGTCCTAAGAAAACACATTTTTTGCCTTTAGGATCAAATTTGCTTGCAGTTCTGTCAGGGTTGGTAATAAAAACTGTGCAGCCAAAAATTTTTATGGGAAGAGAATTAATGAGCCTAGTTTCAGGAAAACTGGCTTGAAGAGTATCAATAGGAGTTTTGAATCCTAGAGTTTTTGATGGTATCCTATTAATTAGATAGGTAGCATGTAAAACAGCTTCTCCCCATAAATATTTTGGAATTTTAGTAGAAAACATAATTGCACGAGTGACTTCAAGCAAATGTCTATTTTTCCTCTCAGCTATTCCATTCTGAGCAGGTGTATTTACACAGGAACTTTGATGAATAATCCCTTTTTCAGCAAAAAAATCATTTAACTTCTTAGAAAAGTACTCAAGACCATTATCACTTCTCACAATTTTGATATTAGTGTTGAATTGAGTTTGGATCATTGAGTAAAATTTTTTGAACACTTCTTCAATCTCAGATTTTTCTTTAAGTAAAAACACCCATGTGACCCGTGTGTGATCATCTATGATAGTTACAAACCACCTTTTTCCTTTCAGAGTTGAAACTCTAGATGCACCCCAAATATCACTGTGTACAATAGTAAAAGGACTAGTTGGCTTGTAACTATGAGGGATATAAGAACTCCTATGATGTTTGGCAAGTGCACACATATCACAATGAAATGATGAAGGATTTTTATTATGAAATAACTTAGGAAACAACATTTTCAGATAAGAAAAACTTGGGTGACCTAATCTATAGTGCATTAAATACACTTCATTATTACAAGGAAAGAAAATAGTTTGCAAACAAGTTTTTTCTTGACCTTGTTTATTCAATTGTGTTCCTTCATCAAAAGTATATAGGCCATCCTCCTCTCTAGCACTGCCAATCATCCTCCCTGATGCCAGATCCTGAAAAATGCAATAAGAGGGATAAAACTTTACACAACACTGAAGGTCTTTAGTTATTTTGCTAATAGAGATAAGATTGCAGGAAAGTTTTGGAACATGTAAGACTTTGGAAAGGTTAATGGTTGAGGAAATTTTAATATTTCCCATCCCTGCTATGGCTGAAAAAGAGCCATCTGCAACTCTAACTTTCTTATCTCCTGCACAAGGTTGATAAGAAGAAAAAAACTTTGGAATGTTTTTTGGTTTTTCAGAACAAAAAAATGATGTTATTTTACCATTTTGGGCAAAAGAACAGGTAGGGTTTTCTTGGTTGGAGATTTTCTGGGTGGGTATGAATTTGAGTAGGTACTCTATCTGTTCCTGAGTGAAGGGTAGCTGTTTAGATTCAACTCCTGACTCTTGTTGAGTCTCAGTCACAGTAGTTTGTAGGGCCCTCTCTACTTTCTTCTTTCCAGCTCCTGGTGGTTTTCCATGAAGTTTCCAGCATGTATCCCTTGTGTGCCACAGTTTCTTGCAGTGATCACACCAAGGTTTTTTCTTGTTGTCATCACTTCTGGCCACCAAAGCTGAAAATTCCCCAGGTTCCTCATTAGGTACTGGAGTGTTGTACATGACCCTCCTCCTGCTATCTTCCAACCTGATCTCAGAGAAGACCTCTCTGATTGAGGCCAAGGGTTTCTTCCCCAGTATTCTGCCTTTTACTTCATCTAGGTCTCTATTCATTCCTGCTAGGAACATATAGACTCTGTCATTTTCCTCTCTCTTCTTGTGTCTTGCCAGATCCTTGGCACTTTCCCAGTCTTCAGCATCATAGCATTGATCCAACTCTTGCCATAGAGATACCATCTCATTATAGTATGAGATGACATCTCTATTTCCTTGTTTGGACTGCCACAACCTAGTTTTTAATTCATAAATCTGAGAGGAATTCTCAAGATCTGAGTAGGTTTCTTTGATTGAATCCCATACCTCTTTTGCAGTTCTCATGAACATGTGAGGTTTGGCGATTGATGCATCCATTGAACTGAGAAGCCAGGCTGTTACCAAAGAGTTCTCTGACCTCCAGACATTGTAGCCATCTTCACCATTCTTCTTCTCCTCTACTTCACCCGTTATGTATCCCAGCTTTCCTCTTCCATCTATTGCCAGTTTGACAGACTGTGACCACTCTAGGTAGTTGGTTCCATTCAATCTATGTCCAGTAATGAGCATAGATGAATTAACTGAGGCCTGGTAATTTGTCATTTGGCTAATTTGGGGGTTAGGATGATGGGTTTGTGAGTGGGTGGAGGAATCAGAGTGTTCAGTGTCCACCATTATGGGTTTTTAAACAACAAGTCTCTGATACCATGTAAGTTTGAAGAATTAATCTTCCTTGTATATTATTGAGCCATCCGGCAATGATATATATACAAGTTTACAGATAAACTAAAGTTGTTACAGATCCTAAATATTAGGATCTATCTATTCTATCTAATCTGCGAGCTAATCTAAGAATTAGAGACCTAAATCAACTCTAATTCCTATCTATACAGTCCCGGATGTACAAATAATAAAAATAACATGTATATGCTACATTTTTCTACAAAAACAATCCAAAGAGATCAATCCTCCACCAGTATACTTTCCTCCCACTTCGCTCTCCTCAAGTGCAGACTTTAAATCAAAGCCTTTTTAGCCATTCAGCCTACAAAGTATTTCTAATTAGCCATTCAGCCTTTTTTGTGAGACTTTTTTCATTTTGCACCAAATACCAACTTATTTGATTGGATTTGCTGAATGGAAAGGAAAATGACATTTTGAGTTCCATTTATATTACAAAAATAATCTCTTTCAGATATATTTTGTAGATAGTTTTAGCTCTTTTCTTGCACCCACATTTACTAAAGATTCATGACTTTCTGTTTTTGGTGTTAAGGTTTTGCAAGCTTTGTCAAAAGCAGTTGATGATCCAAAGAGAGCTGTTCGGCAAGAAGCAGTCAGATGTCGGCATACTTGGTCAGCAGTCATCGGTCGATAGCTGCATTGGAAACCTATACTAGAGCTTAAAGCTTATATTATACATATTAATACCATTAATCCATTATGTTCATAGATCTGCGTATCGTGACCTCATTTGCTCTTAGATGTGCGTATTCACTTCTCTCTACAAGACTACAACCAAGTACGGAGTTAAATATTTTATAAATGTTTGAGTTTATTGTTTCCAATAGATAGTTTGTAGTATTGTAACTAGTATCGTGACCTCATTTGCTCTAATCTATTTATAGTTTATGATGCACACAGATTCCTGCATTCCTCGACTGAATTTCTGTTTGTTTTTTGCACTCTTATTTATCAAATGCAATTCTTTTATATGAGGTGTCAGTGTGAATGAAAGAGTTTTGTTTGTTTACATTGCAGATTTGCAGGACTCTTTTTTACTCGTAATATTTAGGCTTGAAAATATGTAGGATGTTATGTGCTTCGTGTCCATTAGTCATTGATTCGTGTCTTTAATCGGCAAAATGGAGACCCTAGTGTAGTAGTGTATGAGAGTAAAAAAAGGACGAACTGATCGGCTGTTTATTTCCTGGTGTTGATGATATGGGCTTAGCTAGGGTCTAGGGAGCACTACTGCTGCTGTGGTGTTCATGTCGATGGTGGTTTAGTAACGATGATTGATTTTACCGGAGTAGTGTTACTACAATACAATAAAGTAGAGCCCCTACGGAGTACGAAGGTTTCAATTATATTCCTATTTTATTATTTTCCATATTCTTCACTGTGCCTGTTAGGCTTGGACTCGGGTCGGGCCACCCGGCCCGTGGACCGGCCCGGCCCGCTACTGTGCGGGACCGGGACCGGCCCGGTTCTCGGGTCCGGGTCCGGGTCGGGCCTAGGCCCGAGGGGTAGGGCGGGTCCGGGCTCGGGTCTCAATTTTGGTGAACCGGTCCGGGCCAAATTGAATTTTTTTTTATTTTTTTTTTCATTTTTGGGGTTCCACCCGGGTTGGGCTTGATGGGTAGGATGGGTTTGGGAGGGTGGGGGGTGAGGGGGGTGGGTTAGGAAAGCAAAAAAAAAAAAAAAAAAAAATCCAAACCGGAGGCCCGGCCCGGCCCTAGGAGTGGACTCGGGCCGGTTCGGGCCTCGGTTCAAGAAGGGGAGGCCCGGAATCGGCCCGGGTAACCCCCGGGTCCGGGCCGGGCCTCGGGTATTTTTTTTTTTGGGCTTTTCCTAGTTAACCCCCACCCCTCCCCCTCACCCCCAAACCAACCCTAACCACCTCAAATGGCCCAAAATAACCAGCCCAATCCAAAAAATCAAAAAAAAATCAAAAAAAAATAAAATTGGCCTGGCCCGGGCCCAAACCGGCCGGGCCGGTTCACCTTTTGAAGGGCCCGAGCCCGAACTGAGAATCCACCGGGCCGGGTGGCCCGAACCGGCCAACGAACCGGTTCCCGGGCCGGTCCGGGCCCGCACAGTGGCGGGCCGGTTGGCCCGGCCCGAGTCCATCCCTACCCGGCCCGGATCCGGCCCGGACCCGGTGGCTACCCGGGTCGGTCCCGGGTCCACCATTCTTGAACCGCTGGCCCGCCCGGGCCTAGGCCGGACCCGGCCCGGACCCGAGTCCACCCCTAGTGCCGGTATTTGTTTACCTTGGGGAAGATCATGTAGATCTTTATTTAGGAGTTTTATCCACTTTTAGTCCTCTGACTATTATGTCATTGACACTTTTGATATTCGATTTTAATTTTTTCCATTTTTAGTCCTTGACTATTGCGCTAGAGACACTTTTGGTACATATCTTTGAAAATTTTCATATTTAGTCCTTCAAGTTTCATAAAAGTAACACTTGATCCTTCAACTATTATAATAGTGACATTTTTCATCCTCCACTTATTGTGTCAAAATCATAATGGGAAGACTAAAAGTGTCAATTTGACAATCCTGAGGGACTAAATGTGGGAAATCTTGAAGTCGAGGATTAAGTGTCTTTAGTACAATAGTTGAGGATTAAAAATGGAAAAATTAGAAGGCGAGTGCCAAAAGTGGCATTGACATAATAGTTAGGGATGGACCCGGGCCGGTCCAGTTCCGGTTCCGGGCTGGTCCCGGGCGGGCATTTTTTGCAAATCCTTGAGCCCGGAACCGGCCCGGGTTGATACCGGGTCCGGGCCTAACCGGGCCGGGCTGGGCCCGGTTCAATTTTTTTTTTTTGCTTTGTTGTTATCCCCCGACCCCCCCCCTCACCCCCACCCCCAAACCTCCCCAAAACACCCAGCTCTACCCTAGGAAAAGGAAAAAATTGAAAAAAAAATTGACCCGGGTCCGACCCGAACCGAACCGCTTGGGCCGGTTCGTCCAAAACTGGGCCTGACTCCATCCCGCCCAACCCGCCCAAACGGGCTAAAAGCCCGGAACCGGCCAACCGGTCCCGGCCCGCACAGTAGCGGGCCGGGCCGGTTCCGGGCCAGGCCGGCCCGGTTTAGTCCATCCCTAATAATAGTCGAGAGACCAAAAATGGCAAAAACTCTTGATTTAGATTGAAACTAGGTACGGACCATACGGTCTTTGTGCCTATAAATATGTTTTGGGATGTGTTTACTTTGACTGGAATTTTCTGGCTTGGTCTGATCTGTTCCTGTGTTTTTTATAATTGCTCAAGTTTGATCTTGTTTGATCCGGTCTGTTCCTGTGTATTTTATTATTGTTCAAGTCTGATCTGGTCTGGGATTGAAAACAGTCCAAGTAAAAACATCTTTGGTGTCAATATAAAGAAAAACAAGATAAAAAAGTTATTCATACTCTAGAAAATCTCATAAACCTTTTATTGGGACTCTGATTCTCTGAATAGCGAAATTCTTTACCGTTATTCAAAGTACAACAATAATTCTCCAAACTCTTTGGTAGTACAAGACTTAAAACTTGTGAGAACACTGATTCTACCATTCTGGACGTTTTAGTGTTCCACATACTACAATATTATGTAGCAACTGCTGTAATTGATTTCTTTCCTATCGAAGTAATCAAACCATTACATTTTACTCTATTTATTTACAAATAACAAGACACATGTGCTACCGTAAATAATTATATGATATTCAGTACGAAATCTATCTAAGCTGGAAGTTCAATGTCTTAATACAATAAGAATACATGAATGCAAAGAACACTGCAAAACCAACCAGAGCTCCAGCAACTGGTCCCATGAAGTCCGGTTCATACCCAAAATGATCTTTGATGTAATCTTTAATCATAGGATCATAAGTCATTCCTGGAACCTTAATTGTGTCTTCAACATCGCCATACTGTGAGACAATGCATCCATATACAGTCCACGCCACAGGACAAATCCAATAGTACCAAATCCACCACTTCGGAATTTTCTATAAATGAAATATACGACATGAATCAAAATCACACTTCTGTGACATTATTTGTTATGAAATGTAGGATATAAGTCTTAAACTCACAGGTCTGGGGATGAAGAAACCAGAGAAAAGGTTGAAGAGTGCATAGAATGCTGCTGCAAAGATGGCGGCCACTTGGTGGTTTGGTGTGATGGAAACAGTCATCATCCCATAGTATGTGAAGTAGAGGAAAGAGAAGAATGTCACAAAGAAGAACCAGAAAAACTTAGCTGCTGTCCATTTAAATCCCACCATGGCATATACTATGAGAGTGTAATATGAAGTTTGAACAATAACATATGGTATTTCACAAATGACCTGCAAAGTAATTATAGCAGATTGTTTGAGATTCTAGATTTTCTATAATTTTGAAGTTGAAGAAGGTTTGGTTGCTCACCTGTGACATAGCATATGGTAATGCCGAATACATTCCAGCAGCTTTTTCGCGATAAAACACAGTTCTCTCAGTGGACACTATGGGCTGTACAGTTGAGCAATTGCTGATCCCAACAAACAGTACAGCAGCATACATAGCTCCAATAACAGTCATTAGGTCACTTCCAGTTTTTCTGAGTCACATGCAAAAACAGTAAGCTGGAATGTTTTAGAACATAAATGATTAAAAAGCTTTGTGATCTAAAAGTGGCAGCTCTTTCTTTTTTGGGATGAAAACATACATTTTGCCTCCAATATCCCAAAAGATCGTGCCAATCATGAGCGCTGCAACCAAAGTGAAGAAGTATCGAACAAGATTGTAATCTGGACTCCTCCAGTAAGTCCACCACTGCTTCCAGATGCATGATTTGAATTGACCCCATGTTGACTGAGAATATTGGGTTGCAAAATATAGGTCTTTTGCTCCAGGAGGAGGGGTACTCAACTCTTTCACAAGTTCCTTATTTCGTCTGTCCATTGTTATAAAAAAATAAACGTGAGACACTCTAGTAACCTCATAATGTACCAGAGAATGATCATCCATTATTCCACACTTGAGTTGATTAACTTTAAACTTACTGGTGCAAAGATGATCTTTTGTAGTGTTCGGCAAAATCCATTCCAAGTCGGATTTCTGTAGAGACTGAACTCACTTCTAACATCCAGGTAGCTGGATTGTAATTCTCTGTGATATTAGGGACTCCCGACACCGACTGCATTAGATGATTATGCAATTCTATTAGTTTTTAATACCTTTTTTGATAATACATCATCATCATTACCCCACTGGCGCAAAGGATCCCACCTACGGTGGGGTAAGGGGACCTTTTTTGATAACACAAAAAATGTAAAATAGATGAGTACCTCAAAATACTCTATAATTTTATGAGAGTGCCGGCCTAACGGCCCTGCATAGATAACTTGACCTCCTCTTTTCATAAGCAGTAGCTGATGGTGTGCAATATAAAAGCATGATTGCATGAGTTAGATAAATTCCCAACATTCTGAAAAATAATCATGTCATTTATCAGAAATTTATTCCAGGTTTCCTTTACCTCATCAAATGCTTCAAAAATATCAATGCTAGGTTGATGAATGGTGCACACAACAGTTCTTCCTGTGTCAACGGTGTTTCTGACCGTTCTCATTACAATGGCTGCTGCTCTTGCATCAAGACCAGAAGTGGGTTCATCCATGAATATAATTGAAGGATTGGCCACCAACTCAACTGCAATGGTCAACCTCTTCCTCTGTTCAGTAGACAGACCAGACACTCCGGGTATCCCTACAATTGCATCCTTAAGGTTTTCCAGCTCAACTAGATCCATCACCTCATCTATGAAAATCTGGATTAGATGTCAAAAGAACCCAGAATTAGTATTTCATGCACTCCCTCCCCTCTGATTTTGTTAAACTATCACTTTGGAGAGAAAAAATTGCTCTAAAAGAACTGTCATTTTAAATTAACAAGACA